AAAAAAAAAAAAAAAAGAAAAAAAGAAAAAATTGGTTGCCACCTAACAAGTATCAAGGGAACTAACTAGTGAGAGGGAGTCGAACTCCTTAAGTATAACTCGTTTGGTGAATTGAGTCACCCTTCTCCCTTCCACCCCCCCCTGAAAGGTGAGTAGTAGTAGCTACTAACTAGTAGTTGTCGCCAAAAACTCATTATTAACAGCACAAGGAAAGAGGTCTCTAATATTAATTGACTGCAAGAGGATAGGGGGTATTATTCTTTCTGATTGTCAGAGATTTGATAACGGGAAGAACCAGAAGATGAACGTGGCAACAGCGGCTGTCGGTACCAGACCATACAGGAGGAGTTTTCGGTTGTCCCTCTTTCATGTTTCATTCTCACCCTTATGTGCTGGAAGGTACTCATAATAAATTAATCAATGTAAACAGCTTCTGATTTTGATCCATGAGTGAGGGATCTCAACCTGTACCGAACCTAATCCTACTCAAGCAGTCCGTCAGGTTTGAGGGAGGCATATCAGCCGCACAGGAACTACCGAGGGGGGCTAATCGCCCTTTTTTTTTGCGATGGCAATTTGTGGATTCGTAGGAAATATGGAGTAGATAAAAATTGTTCTATGTATTACATTACGAACAAAAATCCCTGGAGCAGGGGAGGGAAGAATAATGCTAGGTACCTAATACTAGTCGAGATGTTATTTTTGATCTCCTAGTGGAGCCAGTGACCTATTTAATTTTTAGTAGGTAAACTTAGCAACATGTCCATGCCATGGAAGGTCTCCAGCCGAGAGTCACGAGTGAAACATACCAGTAGGTTTGTTGAACTGTGTAAGCCTGGAAGGTGAAGAAAACGCATATTATTGGCCAGATCCATGTTGAATGAATGGCTGCGCCCTGGAGCCGGTCCATAGCAGCTTCCCTGGTCTCTGTGTGGGCCGATCTCACAACATAAAACATAGCTCATCCCCCTCCTTTCAACAGATTGTCGATCTACTCAATCTCCCCTTTACTATCAACTCATTTGCCTCCTTCCTTCCTTTTCTCACTCGCCACAACCGCCCTTAAAAACTATCGCATATTTATTCTCCAGCTGGATTATCTGAAGTATGTTCATGTTATCCTCATAGGGTATCTTCGAATTCGTTTGTTGACAGTATATTCTTTTCCAGAGTACACTTTGAAGAAACCCCACTACCGTTTAGACTTGCTCTCAGTGTCTGGAAGCAGCGTTTGTTATCGAACCACCAAAACACCTCGTCATCCCCTTCTACACCTTTTCACCTCTTAGCTTTCCCTCTCTCTTAACATTCTTTAACCATGTGGTAAGTTGCTGAAGACCCAGGCCATCTGAACTTTTGCTGTAACTAAACAAACTGTAGCGGCATTTTCGGCTACATTAACTACCTCGTCGAGAGGGACCGCAAGTACATTCTTGACACTCTTCTCAACGGTTGGCATTTGCTCACTCTGGTATTAAGATTGTGTGCGCCTGCTGACATGTTTAAAGGACTCTCCCGCCTTGAATATCGAGGCTACGACTCTGCGGGTCTCGCCATAGATGGTGATAAGAAGAATGAAGTCTGTGCTTTCAAGGAAGTGGGAAAAGTTGCTAAGCTTAGGGAGCTCATTGATGAGTGCAAGCCCGACTTGACCAAGTCTTTTGAATCTCATGCTGGTATTTCTCACACGCGTTGGGCCACTCATGGGACACCTTCCCGCTTGAACTGCCACCCACACAGGTGAGTCCGATTTTTCGTGGTCGAATCAACTCGACTAGGATCAAGGTTGTTTGTTAATGTTCCTGGCATGCAGGTCCGATCTAAACTGGGAATTTTCAGTTGTTCACAATGGTATCATTACTAATTACAAAGAACTAAAGGCTCTGTTGGAGAGCAAAGGGTTCCGCTTCGAGACGGACACAGACACCGAATGTATTGCAAAGCTCACGAAATATCTTTATGATCAACAGCCCGATATCGAATTTACAGTCTTGGCTAAGGCTGTTGTGAAGGAGCTTGAGGGCGCCTTTGGGCTTCTCATCAAATCCGTACATTATCCCCACGAGGTCATTGCGGCTCGCAAAGGGTCCCCGCTTGTCATTGGCGTGAGAACGTCGAAGAAAATGAAAGTGGATTTCGTGGACGTTGAATACTCAGAAGATGGAGCTCTTCCTGCAGAGCAGGCTTCCCAGAACGTAGCCATCAAGAAGTCTGCGACTGGCCTCCTCGCCCCACCTGACAAATCCCTTTTGCATAGGTCACAGTCTCGTGCTTTCCTTTCCGATGACGGCGTCCCCCAGCCTGCTGAATTTTTCTTGTCTTCTGATCCATCTGCAATTGTTGAGCATACGAAGAAGGTTCTCTATCTTGAAGACGATGATATCGCTCATGTGCATGAAGGGCAATTGAACATTCATCGCCTCACCAAAGATGATGGTACTTCTAACGTTCGCGCTATTCAGACGATTGAACTCGAACTGCAGGAGATTATGAAGGGCAAGTTCGACCACTTCATGCAAAAGGAAATCTTTGAACAACCCGAGTCTGTGATCAATACCATGAGAGGACGATTGGATGTTGCAAACAAGCAAGTTACACTTGGTGGCCTGCGGCAGTACATTTCCACTATCCGCCGCTGCAGAAGAATCATCTTTGTTGCCTGTGGAACTAGCTACCATTCATGCATGGCTGTGCGTGGAGTCTTCGAAGAGCTCACTGAGATTCCTATTTCTGTTGAACTTGCTTCCGACTTCCTAGATAGGCAGGCACCGGTATTCCGGGATGACACGTGTGTTTTCGTTTCTCAGTCTGGCGAGACCGCCGACTCTCTCATGGCCTTGCGCTACTGTCTCGAACGCGGAGCATTGACAGTTGGTATTGTTAATGTTGTAGGGTCCTCCATCTCACTACTCACTCACTGCGGTGTGCACATCAACGCTGGACCTGAAATTGGTGTAGCTTCCACCAAGGCCTACACGTCCCAGTTTGTTGCTATGGTCATGTTCGCTTTGTCTCTTAGTGAAGATAGGGCCTCTAAGCAGAAGAGGCGTGAGGAGATTATGGAGGGCCTTTCTAAGGTCTCTGAGCAATTCAAAGAGATATTGAAACTCAACGAACCCATTAAACAGCTTTGTGCAAACTTCAAGAATCAGAAGAGTTTGCTTCTGCTGGGCAGGGGTGGTCAATTCCCTACTGCTCTTGAAGGTTAGTGACTAATCAGACGATATATTGCTTAGCTTATGCGTCATATAGGTGCACTTAAAATCAAGGAGATCTCGTATCTCCATTGCGAGGCTGTTATGTCCGGCGAGTTGAAACATGGTGTTCTTGCCCTTGTCGATGAGAACTTGCCCATCATCATGATTCTCACGAGGGATAACTTGTTCACCAAGTCGTTGAATGCTTATCAACAAGGTGAGTTGAAAACTAGCAAATAGCAAATGTGGTCATTTTGTCTAATACTTTGATAGTTATTGCTAGAGGTGGACGCCCTATCGTGATTTGCAATTCCGGCGACCCGGAATTCTCTTCGGCTCAAACCGTGAAGATCGAAGTTCCGAAGACTGTCGATTGCCTGCAGGGTCTCCTGAATGTCATCCCCTTGCAGCTGATCGCTTACTGGTTGGCTGTGTCTGAGGGTCTTAATGTCGATTTCCCTCGCAACCTTGCGAAGTCAGTCACTGTTGAGTAAATTTTCGCTATTGACACAGCGAAGTTTGGCCTATGGAATTTGCAGAGTCCTATGGAGCATCCTTGCTACCTTTCGGATGAGTTTACCTCTCTTTTTTTCATTTTATTTCCATAATTGTCCGGTAGAATGCAATGTTGCAGGCAATCATATCTCGGGGATGTTTCTTCAATGACTGGGCTAGGATACTAGTGGGTCGAGTACGCTCCTAGTGCTACTTAATGTAGGGTAATATTTTATCCCTATTCCATGTAGATTGATCTGTATTGTCTTTAGTACAACGCTCCGCAGATAGGCGCATAGTTATCAAATATTAATACCTTAGTAATCGCCAGTTACTACATATAGTTAGTTAACCATGAGTATCCCTAAACTGCACTGTAGACGACGAGAAAGGGCTTGGTTGGCAACCATCTCATGGCGGGATAATGCACGAAGGTAGCCTTCTACTCCGCACTTTTGATATAATTCGACGGCATAGATATAGATGCCATTAAAGCTTATTTTATACAATAATATGATGTGGAACCCTCATATCACTACTGAATTAGGAAGCGGTAGATGCGGTGAAATTGCCCTGTTTATCCCACTGACGTCTCACACTCTATCTAGCGCAATTAACACGCGGCGGCAATCAGACAAGGTTCCCTCTCAGTGTAAGTTTGAGTGATGCTTCCATGTCTTACAAGTACTGTTGCTCCCAAGATTAAGGTTATTAAGGTGACAGTAGTAATTACACAATACAGAGTAGGCAAAATACACTAACTTGTTTCAAAGTCGCTTGAGAAGGAAGGTTTGAACATGACTACAAGGCGGTAATGCCGACCTGGCAAAAATTTGGACTACTACGTCGCTGGATATACCGGGAATTACGTAATCGCAGCTCTCCCACCAGGTTCCGCGGGGTATATCCCCCATATGATGATTCAATAATCATCGCACAAAGGCCTATATATGACTTACAGTTTCTACAATTGATTTACCCCGTTTAAACTGTTACAATTTCAACCATGGCATCTCTGAAAGGGCCAGGAGCTACTTTAGGCTTTGACGGTACGATAGAGGCATAAGAGGGGAGGTTTTGGCTCATCGCTTGCTTATCTGTTTCTATAGGCTCGGGGCTTCGAATTGCAATTGTTCATGCGAGGTGGAATATGGGCATAATTGGACCTCTTGTGGAAGGGGCAAGAAAGAGCCTTCTAGCAGCTGGTGTAGCTGAGGACCATATCACAACCCTTACTGTCCCTGGCAGCTATGAGTTACCATATGCCGCTCAGCGGTAAGTATAACTCATTTTTACGCCGCTGTTTTACTATAAGGGCTTCATCCTGATGCCTATTCTCTCCTCCTAGACTCTACGCAGCTTCTCAGCTGCAAGCAGCCAAGAGCTCGTCCTCCGGTGAGGGGATCAGTGCCACGGATTTGCTCTCTTCCTCTACCGCAGACATTAGCAAAGCGTCCCCGCAATCCCCAGCATCTGCTACCTCTAGGCCGTTTGATGCCATTATCACCATAGGCGTTCTTATCAAGGGAGAGACCATGCATTTTGAGTACATCGCAGATGCTGTGTCTCACGGATTGATGCGTGTTCAATTAGATTCGGGCGTGCCTGTCATTTTTGGGGTGCTCACCGTTTTGACTGAAGAACAGGGCTTGGAAAGGGCTGGGCTAGGGAAGAAGGGAATGCATAATCATGGAGAAGATTGGGGTAACGCTGCTGTGGAGCTTGGAGCAAGAAGAAGAGAATGGGCTGAGGGTAGAATTGCTTAGGTCTGTTTCGAAAACTTTCAAGGAATTGATTATTAGGATCTGAAGACACTTGTAAGTTAGTAATTTAGTAGCAGGCCCTCATGGTCAGAGGTATAGGACTTCATGTATGCGCAACATTATGCTGGAGTAACGACTTGATGGAAATGGAACAAAACGTATATTAGGATATTCTTAAATTCCGTCCTTGGTTTGTTCATTCTACTCCTCCATCCGCTCCCCTTGGTTGGTGCCATCCTTTGCTCCTTCCTCTTCCTCCTCATCTTCACCTTCTAGAGACCTCTTTGCCGCCTTTTCTGCTTCTTCAAGAAGTTGTTTGGGCACTTCTTCATGCCTGCCCTGGGTTGGCCCATCTAGTGAGCTAATCCAAGACATTTCTAACTCAAAATCTTTGTCCTTGCTATCCTCGTGAGCGACATAAATGATTCGAGCTGCCTCTTTTACAGCATCAACCAAACCCAGGTTACCCGAACTTAGATCTAACTTCTCAAGTTCAGCCTTAGCAGCCTGCCTCCCCTTCCCGGTAGCTGCACCATAGTAACCCTTGCAGTAGTCAGCGCAGTAGTTAGTTTGGGATTGTTGATGCCTGCCTTACCCAGTACAGCCCACTTGGCTCAATCATATATAGACCTGGGCCTCCAGCCCTAGCTCCATCAATTTTACCCCCAGAGCCTGATTTAGGCCCACTGCCAACTTGACCATCGACGGCAAGCTCGGCTTCAGAATCCCAGCCACCAACGATAGCGGTCACACCAAAAGGTCGTACGCTGGAGTAGAGGGTATAAGCTTGTACGTAGCTGCCCAAACGATTTGACAGAGCTGACACTGGGATAGGGCCCTTGTATACGCTTCTCCACGAAGCAGCCTCATCTCTAGCACGAGTGACAAAGTGTCGACCGTCTGGGACTAGGCCGGCAGAAACCTATTGTTTCGATCCACGCATATCAGTAAAGAGGCCCAATGATCACGATATGGGTTATTCCCACACCAGGCGAAGTTGGGTCGTGACATACAATACCAACGTGTCGATCGACTGTTGCTATTCTCTTATTTGCACCTGGCTTCAGGAGCTTGCTAGTAATAATCTTCTCGACAGCTAGCACGACGCCGTCCTTGCATCTTATACCAATGGCTGTTCCTCCATTTTCAACCGCTTTAGCTGCATATTCCACCTATCGATATAGTTGACTTAGCGACTTATCAGAGTAGAGCTATGGGAAATCTTAATCGATTAACTACCTGAAAGTTGCGGCCATCTGGCGAGAAGACAGAATTAGAGAGGTCGTATCCAGTACCGATGGACGTCTGTGTTATGATGATGTTAGTGTTCAGGAAACCTTCACGTAAATGGAAACAGAAACGAACCATGGTCTTAATTAGTTTTGTTTGTCACGAGACAAGGGAGATCACCGATTTTGTTCTAGGGCAGAAAATCAATAAGTACTGTGTGGAATGGCAAACTGATAGGAAGAGTCACAGAGCGAGTGTAGTATGAAGTGATGTTGGAAGCTCCAAATGATAAGCAAGGCAGTAACTACAGCAGTCTAGGAGACAATACGTAGTACGACCGCCCAGGCTAACCAAGCTCCGCGTCACGGGGTTTCTGCCTACTAGTAACTAGTGGTATTATAAAAATCACGTGATGAAAGCACCGCCCTCGAGATCTCATGACAGTACAGAGAATCATCATGCCCCTCCATTTCCTTCCCGTAATATCGAGGTGGCTGTAGGTCTGCTTGGACTTTCTACTGGTTTTAATCCGAATGTAAAGTGGTGCCAATGAAAGCCCAGAGCTTTGGTCAAGTCTCAACAGTCGCCAGGATTATTCGCTCGCTATAAGTGCCCAATCTGCCCACATCTTTGGGCATCTGCGCCAGTTCATAGTCGATGGTAGTCTACCTTCGGGCGAGTAGTAGCATCTTCCACCTTAATGGCTTCATGCCGCCCCTCTGCAGCTTGTTCAAGTGCTTATAATTGAACTTCTTACTCTGTGTGAACCTCTACTTCTTTGTACTGCTTCTGTTGCATATACTTCTTATGAACCCTTAGTACTGTCCCAGTACCAGTGACAACTTCATATTCTATGCACTCATTTCCCTTCATCTTTTTATGAACCTGGATGTTCCAGACTATGTCTTTGTCAACACCGTATACATGCTCATTCTGTGGGCAAGTATCACACAACACTAGTACACTTGCTGCTTTTGCCGATGATTTTAATTGTAGCCAGGTAGATGGCTCTCTCTTATTTTTCCTGTTCGGGTGGGGGTGTTCCTGACTAGCGATCGTACAGTGCGGCTTGTCAGCAGCCGAAGGTAATCTGCAAATGCAAGAAGACCTTGTGGCACTTTTCTCCCGGCAAATGCGTATGGATATACCAATACCGTCTGGCAGTCAGGAGATGCCACCAGCCGTCCATCCTCCGGTCGCGTACAGTATCACCCAACACTATCATCACTCCTCGCATGTGGCCCGCTGCACCTTTCCAGCAGGATCACCAGAGCAGGATGAGCCCTTGGATCCTAACGTGACTCCAAGCTCAGTACATGAAATGCTGAGATTGCAAAACATCAACCCATCATCCCTTACTCCCACACAGCTACAGTTATTTGAGAATGCAATGCCAGAGCAACGATCACGCTTAATCCAGATCTGGCAAATCTTCCCAGAGTCTAGAGATGCATCCACCGACCCAAGCTTGGAGAGGGTGAAACAGTCGAGCTCCGAGCTTTATGCATATTCTTCAGGAGGGGCAGCGATCAATGCACATGATTCAAACCTATCAGCTCATACGGGCTATACTGATGATTTGGACATGTGTGATTTAATGCACGATGGAGGTAACGATGAAGATGGACACCAGTATGCCGAGCCATATATGATATCCGGTTATGAAGTTCTTGCACAGAGAGACTATGAGCTATGTGCAGGTAAAATTGTGCCTGTGATGAATGAGCCGACGACGGGGTCACCATATAAGCTGTCAAACGACCCTATCTACAGGGCTCAGGGTCATCAATGGTGGGAAAAGATACGTTGAATATTAGTACAGCACTTTGGAGGAGATGAATCGGTATGCGGCATGTGGTCTCCTACAACCTAAATGGCATTCGTAAATTCAAGCTTCTCGGGGTTGTATTAGGGTAAAAGGTTAGATCCATATTTATTAGATTGCGAACTATTATTTAATCTCTGAAATTATTCTAGCGCGTTGTAAAAGACTCGATTATTTCTGGTGGCTATCGACCTACTGCACACCAGGCGATGAGTAGTACTGTATTAAATATGTGCCGCTGGTCAGGTTTATACGTCGTAGTCGAAGTCCCAATGGGTAAGGACGAACTACTAGTACAGAGTATATGGGAAAGTCAATGGGTATATTTGATCATAGGAACCAAATAAGCTGCAAAAGATATGGGTGGCAAACATTTAACAGATGTAACGATAGTAAGTGATTGTTGTTACGGCTCATATATAGCTGCGGTAACATCCCATGGGCCCTTCTCACTTGTCTCTGTTCCTTGATTCCCCCCGTTTTCTTTTTTTCTTTTCTTTTTCTATCTTTTTTCTTTTTCCCTCCCTAGTCTCCATCCCTCACTTAACCGCCCTTGGCTGAAGGCGCTTAAACGATGTAAGCAATAGAAAGGACGGAGCAATGATGGCCGTAAGTAGTTCATTGGAAAGAGTGACTGGGCCAAAAGCCTGCAAATATATTTGCCACGCACAAAGCTCTTGTCTCGCATATCTCAAGAATTATGCGGCTAGTGGGAGTGTCGACCTAGTTCAAACACCATCAGAATCTAGGTAACGTTTACAATTTAAAGACATGGGCTTACTGACCTTACTAGTACTCCTCGAGATCTGCCATAGCATCTGCAAGGGCATCGGCAGAACGTCTGGCATCCTCAACAGCCTCAGCAGCCCTCTTAGCCTTGAGACATCCCTGACCAGGCAGGGCACACCACTTGGCCAAGGCTTCTGCATCAGGCATGGCCTCAGCAAGGGCCTCAGCAGAACGTCGAACGTCTCCACTGGCATCGGCGGCCCGTTTCAGCATGTAGCAGCCCTGAGCAGGCAGTGCACACCATTTTTGTAAAACTCCAGCCTGTACACTGGTGGCTGCAAGAGCGGCAACGACGACAGAAATGAGCTTCATTTTGAAGATTTTCCGACAAAAGGTTTGATAAGCAGTTTAGATTGAGTTAGTTGAAAGCAGAGTTGTGAGAATCGATATTCTTGATTATGATATGAGAGGATAGTGTCAATTATATAGGATAATGGAAGCTGGAAAGGCGAGGAACCTTACCCATCGAATTCATAGGGCCGTATTCTCGATGGAGAAGTTGTCCTATTCACATGTGGAAGAGGAAGTGCAAGACAAGACGAAAGACAAAGCACCACAATAATCCTGAATAGAACTTACTGAATAGGAAATGAAGGGTATGTTCAATAAGACCCGCAACAGAGATGGGATCAACCAGGTACATATTTCTCAGCGGGGAAAGAATAGCATCACATGCCATGGGGAACACTCCCTCCTACGCTTGATTCAGCCCAGGGATAGCCAGGATCTGGGTGTAAAAAACTTCTGTGGACTCAAGCGGCATCCTGATCGAGCCCTACTTGAATGTATCTTTTGTACATCACAAGTGAGGAGTACACTGCGCCTCCACAGTGGTTCATACACTGACATTTCCTGCAAGCAGACTATAACGAACGGATGTTCTATTCTTCTTTCTGAACGAGCCTTCAACATGATTTAGTTGTTAGATTGGACCTTTAGGTCTAGAGCATTTTTGGCATTGAAAGATTATTCATGACCAAAATAAGTCATCAATAAGGAATGGCTTTCTAGATGCGCTGAGATAAGACTACTAAAAGAGAGCCTGACCTTGATTGATATGCCAAAGGGGAAAAGTCGGTATGTTAGATCAAGGACAATGAACACCGAAGTAGCGGAACAGGTACTTGAAGTGGGGATGTGTTTGCTAAATCTTTTTCTTGTTCCTCTTTAGTCAACACAAAGAAAGGAAGGGGTTCGATCATACTAATACTTTCTTTATGATAAACTTAATAGTAATGAAGAAAAGATATCCACTTTCAGCAGGATATAAAAAACCTCTAGTCAGACTTTTCACAATCTCAAAGACCAAAGTATGTATCACCCATTGTTTAAGGGGTTCTATAGAATGTGACTGAGCTGGTTGATTGATTATAGATCAATTGAGTGATGGACCGTAAAGATAAGATCGGCCCGGATCTTTCTTATCCAAGAACAGGTTGGCTTTCAATGGATGCCGAGACGATCCGCCGTTTTTTCCGGCGTCTCGTGCACTCCCTGTCCTTAGCCTTGGCCGCCTTTCTTTCCCGTCCTCCGTCTCTCTTCCTTCTGCACGCCTTTTTCTCTCCTCTAGCTAGATTCGCTTTTCGCCTCTCTCCTCTCCCTCCCGTTTTTCCCCTGGTTCATTATTAAGATGTTTTCCCTAAGGACAGCGCAGCCCACGCAAGTAAGTATCTACACATACCCGATCAGTGGCTGACTTCGAATTGTGTTCTCTTTGTTCTTGGTTCACCCTTGGCTATTTGTCTACCTTCCTTCTGCCCGATAGAAACCGACCATTACAGGCTTCTTTTTTTTTTTTTTTCCCACCCCCTCCTTCCCGTTTAATCCCCCATGATCTTCAGTTCTGGTATATTTCAAATCGCACACCTTGTCACTTTATTTTCCCCGGAATTACCACTCATATATGTTATATTTCACGTGTAATATCCCCACCGTTTTCCTCGCTCGCTAACTTGCATCCGCATCCTGACAGTCTTTCCTCCGTCGCGCTGCGGTGACAGCTCCCTCCGTCCGCTCCTCCCTGGCAGCAAGATGTATGTCGTCTAAATCTTCTCCGTATGACTGCTCTTCCATTGATCATATGGCTGACTCGCGAGTTTTAGCATTTGCTAGCGTTCAGTCGGACATCTTCAAGCCGACTAAGTATGGTGGCAAATACACTGTGACGCTTATTCCAGGTATATATACGTTCCCATATACCCTTTAGAATCAACTTTTGACCTGCTGACGCCTTGGACTTAATTTTGAGCAAAGGTGATGGAATCGGTGCTGAAGTTGCTGAATCGGTCAAGACCATTTTTAAAGCCGATAATGTGCCCATTGAGTGGGAGCAGGTAGATGTCAGTGGTGTTGATGCGGGTAACAAGCATTCGGAAGAACTTTTCAAGGAATCTATCGCGTCCCTTCGCCGCAACAAGCTGGGTCTCAAGGGTATCCTCTTCACTCCGGTTGAGCGCTCGGGCCACCAATCATTCAACGTTGCTCTCCGACAGGAGCTTGATATCTTTGCCTCGATTGTTCTGATTAAAAATATCCCGGGCTACAAGACACGCCATGAGAATGTCGACCTTTGCATCATCCGTGAGAATACTGAGGGAGAATACTCTGGCCTTGAACATCAGTCTGTCCAAGGTGTCGTCGAGTCGCTGAAAATCATCACTCGTGCCAAATCTGAGCGTATCTCTAAATTTGCTTTTGGCTTTGCCCTGGCAAATAACAGGAAGAAGGTTACCTGCATTCACAAGGCGAACATCATGAAATTGGCCGACGGTCTGTTCCGTAGCACTTTCCACAAGGTTGCCGAAAATTATCCGACTCTGGAGGTCAACGATATGATCGTTGACAATGCCTCTATGCAGGCCGTGTCCCGGCCCCAGCAGTTCGACGTCATGGTCATGCCCAATCTGTACGGCGGGATCCTTTCCAATGTCGGGGCAGCCCTTGTTGGTGGACCAGGCGTTGTCCCTGGCTGCAACATGGGTCGCGACGTTGCTGTGTTTGAACCCGGCTGCCGTCACGTCGGGCTTGATATCAAGGGCAAGGACCAGGCGAATCCCAGTGCTATGATCCTCTCTGGGTCTATGCTCCTGCGTCATCTCGGCTTGGATGACCACGCAAATAGAATTTCCAAGGCTGTGTACGATGTCATCGGTGAAGGGTGAGTAATATGACCCGCTCTTGGGATACTTTGTTTCCTTGCTGACAACCTCCTAGTAAAACGAGAACCCGTGACATGGGTGGACAGGCCACCACCCATGAGTTCACCAGGGCCGTTCTGGACAAGATGGAGGCTGCCCTGTAACTTATGGGATCTCTGTCCGGCTTAATCGCTGTTCTCACGATAATGAAAGCTTGTATAAGCCAGTAGATTACTCAGTCAATGTCATGCTGGCTCTCTGGGTTTCTCCTTTTACTGTATTATCTTTCGCTGAAGCGACATCAGGGGCGTCCTACTCAATTGAGGCTTATCGCAATTTTGCGGAGCTAGTAGGATGTGTAAAATTATATACTAGTGTTTTGAGAATAGATGAAATATCGCTTTATTCAGAACCAGAATACAGAGTTCCATCTAGTATCCCACAAGTTTGTTTGGGGGGCAGGGGAGGCCTTCCTCGCGTTGGCCAAATTTAAGACACTTCTTCAAATGCAGCAGGTCTTGGCTAAAAGCAAACCCAAATTGGCAAGAGAAGAATACCACTGTAAGGTCAGTACCCACAGTTAGTCTATGAAGACTTATGAACCTAGGAGGATATCTGATGTTTTACCTCCTTTTGGATGAACCCTGCTCTGAATGAATCCGCGCCTGGATGGCAATGGCCACAACGCAGTAATTGGATACATCAATGTTGTTTGTGGCCACGGCTTGAATTTGTTTTTCTGCCCTAATGTTTTCTGTTTCTTGCGCAATGAATCCAAGCACCAAAGATATATCGACTTGATCAAGCACGGAAAGCTAACCATGGCTGGACGGTTAGAAAGCTGGGCGACGCTTTCTGCCCGTGTACCTAGAATTCTGTTTCACAACCTTGCCCTTTCTCTCCATCTGTTCCTTTTTCCGCATAATCCAAGCCTTATCGCCCTTCCGGGGCAGTTGCATTTTCCCATGTTCCATTGCCTTTCTTCTGGCATCCAGGATATTAACATCATCCATTCCATTCACGACGCCTGTAATATCACCTTGCAGACCACCGCCTCCAACAGTCAAAACAAGGTACAGCTTGCTGTTCTTTGTCCCGGGATCATCTTCTAGGATGCCAGCTCCGAAACCAGCCTTGATGGCAGCTCCACTGATCATATTTCGCTGTGCATCATTTTTAGGATAGAATTGACAAACAGCACGACCTCCACGCCGTAGGCTAGCATAAAGACCTTCAAAAAAACGCCGCAGGCGGCCTTCAGGACTAACGTCACTCGTTTCGGCGTTGCAGAGCCACTGGATGGCACTGATACTGATAGCTGCATCAAACGTGCCTGGACGAAATGGTACTCCTTGCCCAATATCAGCTAGAAATAAATCACCTTCTACATCCCGTTGAAGGGCGATATCAAGCATGCTAGGTGAGATATCCATGCCTATCCAGGTATGAGGTCCCCCATGTTCAGGGGCCACTGCAGAAAGAATTTCGCCCGATAGTCCGGAGCCACAGCCGATATCTAGAATCAGTGACGGAGATCGAAGGTCAAGAAGTTCGAGTGCTCGATTGGTCATATCAGACTGTATGTTACGGATTCGCGAGGACGTGGTATATTTGCGAGATTCATTATCGTCATAGAAAAGGTCGGGGGGCCTTGGGTCAAGGACAAATGAATTCTCGGTAAGAGGTTTGTGCAAGTTCTTCGGATTGGGGATCTTACAGGATATCCTCTGGACGCGACATCACTGCTATCTTAATTTAAAGACTCCTTTTTCTTGGTGAAGGGTCTTAGAGAGCAGACAAAACGTATGCCTACTTTGAGTTAAAAAGTTGAAGGTGAAATGTTCAGTAGAAACTTTTTATAGGATTGAGAGATAAGCTCGAAAGAGAAGAGTTGAGGAACAACAGGAAATCGACTTGATCTAGACCTTTGCTCTTTCTCTCTCCCTTTTTTTTTTCTTTTTTCTTTTTTTTCCGGGCTCATGGCTTTCTGCCGGAGGGGAAAGGTGGAGTTGGTGCCTTGTGACGGCATATCAAAGCCTGAGGCATGAAAGCATAAAACATATGTGGTACTTCATAAATCATTGACCGCGGTTTATTCCAATCACTTAACTTCAGCCAATTTGCCTCTGTGTCGGCTCGGATATCATCATATTCCAATTGATCAGACCGCTTTCATCATCGGACACATACGATCGCCAAGCTTCATTTGTCCACTCCCTCCCTAACCTCACAAAATACAATATATTAATCGGAGCTAGATTGACACTTTCAGCTCTCCAACATGTGGATCCTACCCTTACTAGGATATTTGGGGGTTATTGTGGGGTTCTCATTTCTTACTTTGGCCATAGGTAAGATATGCGTGTTGCCTCATAACCAGCAAGCTGCCAGGTTGGATATCTTGCTAGTGGACGTGAAACGAAACAACCCCATACGCTTTGTTACGGCTCAATTGCCAACAAGTGACTTCAATCGTACTCAGACTGCACTGGACTAACAGATATCTAGCTTCTGGGCTCTATTATATGTCGGAACTTGTAGAAGAACATACTGTTCTCGCCCGTCGCCTTTTGACTCGGTTGATATACAGCATTATCCTCATCCAGATCCTCCTATTCGTTTTTGACCGGTTTCCTTTCTCTCTATCTCTTCTTGGCATCGGCTCGCACATCGTCTATGCAAGCAATTTAAGACGGTTCCCCATCGTCAAGCTATCGGATCCCTTTTTCATTCTGTCATGTGTTCTTGTTGGTCTAAACCATTGGCTCTGGTTCCGTCATTTCTCGAAACCTCTGCCTGCGTCGCGAGCTGCATCCAACTGGCGGCAACCATACCAAATAAACGCGGAGGACATGCCGACTTTCACTGAAGTTGCATCTTATTTTGGACTTTGTGTCTGGCTGGTCCCTTTTGCGCTCTTTGTCAGTCTTAGTGCAGGTGAAAATGTCTTGCCCAGCATTGGGTCCGAATATGCCACTGGTGATCATGTTTCAACTCCGGGGTTTACTCGCAATACTTTGACTTCAGATGGGAAATCAAAGAACAAGGGCATGGCAAAGGCTCTGGTGGATAGTGTTCGAGACTGGGTCAAAGAAAACGGTGAACTGATGGGATTCTGGAGAGGTGAACGCTCCAAAAGGTTCTGAGGCGCCACAAAACAATGTAATGAGCATCATGTTGGTCCGTCCTAGCCTGGTTAATGTATTTGTCCTACAATCACTATTAACAGCGACAATAACTCAAAGCATGAGTGGGTTGATCTGACTTTGATCAAACTTCACACGCCTATATAGACCTAAGTAGGCGGCAAAAAGTTTAAATTGTTTAAAGGTGTCAAGAGGCATTGATGCAAGTATATAATGGATGGGTATATAACACTTTGAATTTTGTTCTGCGACGTGATGGGGACCAGGTATAAAGAGATGATGGAGAGGGGTGAGGACAAAGAGGACAAGAACACGATATAAGCAGCTTGCAGAAGGTCTGTGCAAGTCCTGTCATAACCAATAGAGGTATATCACCGCCCATCCCTGCATTGAGTACGACCAAAAGGTAGCTGCCATTTAAAATAAGGACTGTCTAGTGTGAGACAAAGTTCAAACAAAAATGTAGGTAATGCAGGTAAGGTGAAATTGAAAAAAGTAAGAGCCATCTCTGGCGATTATCATTAGTATTAGATGTTCCCCCTTTGGCGCTTGGCTGAATCTGGTCAGAGCTGTATGTTCGAGTCATTTCAAGTTCGTTCAAATCATGATGGCCTTGATTGTTGAAGCAATGTCCATGTGCAAGATCAACGACAAGCTGAGGCGATTGTGCGCCGGGGGGATAAAAGCAGAACATATACGTTATTGTGGACCGCTCAGATTCCCCTCAGTGCAGGGGGTGAGCGCACAAGGTGCAAGATGATCAGGCTAGTAATCGTCAGGCTCGTGACTTTAGCAAGGAATAGTTGAATTTACTCACCATCATTATCGTGCGCAGAAGCAAAAGGAGAGCTAAGATGATTAACCTCCATAAATAGTAGAGAGCTTTCTCTTCTTTTCGATTTGATGGAACGCGAAGTTTCAGGATTTGGTGTCAACATCTTGCTCGTTGTGGGTGGAGTGGTATGTTCCTCGTTATTACTTTCCAGGAAGTTGCTAGATGACTGATCGTAGCTCGATTGGTGTGTTATGCATTCATCACGGTCACGAGGATCTCCCTGTTTACGGAAAGTTGTTTGAGTATGTAAACTCGGCATCTCTGTCAGCATTTGGCTTGGCGCAAAATGAGAGATCTCTGGAGACGTAGGACTATCTATGATGGGATCCTCAAGGTCTGAACGCGTTCCTAGCAGGTCTTCAAAGATTCGCTCAAATTCAGTAAGAAACATCGAGAACACAGGTGCTGGAATGTTTAGTGTTGGAGCAAAAACTATGCCAACATTTCTGACCGTCATTTTATTGACATCAGAGTTGTTCACGATAACAATCAAAAACTGGACCAATGCTCGCAGTAAAGCCAAGTTTGGTCTCGGAAGTCTGTGGACAAGCGAGTTGAATGCCGCGATCTTAGTCTGTCTTTCATTAAGCTCTGGAGCGAAGACTATTAGCATTAAGATTCACAAACATCACTCTAGATCAATATCCGTGCTTACCAAGAACACGCAGAAACTTGATATGAAGTTCGCGAGTGAGAACAGTAGTGGGTAACTCTCGCAGATATTGCTTGAAAAGGGAGGCCACAGCATGTACATCGTAATATTGATCACCGGCGAGGAAGTCCACATCCCCTTCAGTATTGAACCTTTCTTTGAGCGCCTTGACAACGATATTTGACCCACTTAATCGAAATATCCCTTCCTCTGATTCTGCACCCTTGGCTGTGAGGTACTCGATGCAACGGTAGACTACAGCAGGTAAATCAACGTCGATACCCCGCGGCGCACAGAACTGCACCGCCTCCGCCAATGGGATGCCGAAGACTGGCTTGACAAGGTCCCTTCTTTCGCCGGAGGTAAGATTATGCGGTTGAACCGATGGGGAGTCATAACTGGCTTGCAGTTGTGAGGCAAGGTCGACCGACGATCTCGTGCGGAATCCCCAGATGCTACGTTTTTTTTCCTTGGTACTAGTTGCGGACTTATTTCCCCAAGCCCCCGCGTCCTGGATAATAGCTCCATTTGTGGGTCCAGATATGATTCTAGATGAGAGCTGGCCAGTGTCCGGCACCTGGTTCGTTGCTTGGGTTGCATCTGTAGGGTCGGTTGGTGACATTTGAGGAAAAGTGGGTGACATAAGTGCCTGTTGTTCGTAAGGTGGTCCGAAAACTGGCGGTTCGGCAGGGATAGCATCCTCGTAACTAAATCCTTGAACTATATCGATGCCTTCAAGATCCGAACTATCGGTTGTTCTGTTGTTCTTGTTTCCATTCGGGGGCATTTTGAGGTTAACCGTTGTGTTAGCAGGGTGTGTACCAGAGACCTGACCCTTTGAGGATCCACTATTCGATGCTTCGTTCTCGGATTGCCCTTCTACATATTCCAAGAGTGCCTCTACCCAAGAATCCCTCTCTTCGTCGCTTTCGGCGCACAAAACATGTCGCACAAGAGCTGATGAGTCCTTTTTCTTGGGTTCTAAAATTAGAAACGCGTGGCGATATTGATTGTCGGAGTCCTCTTCACCTCGTGCAGGCGGGTTATTATTTTGACCATTTGTGCCCTGCGACTGCTTGCCAATCTGGGCATTGTAAATTTTGATAGTTCCAAGGTGAGGACCACCTGGCGATTCAAGGTATTTCAGCTCGGGTCCATGGAGAACAAAGTACCGAGCCTTCCAACCGCCAAAATTCTTGCCTCTTTTTGTTAAATAGCCCTCTTTTCTGGGCTTACCATCTGGGCCACGTAGTATTTCGGAACTCATGTGTTGACTACCTTTTAGCAAACTGGTTTCATCATCTCTTGGCTCAATAGCATCGGATGTGAGGAACTGGCATATAACCAGAGCCGCTTTTTCATCCATTGGTGTATCGAGAAGTGCTTCGAAGTATGCATTTAATGCGGCTCGCCTCGCATCCACCTTGGCTGGGGAATGCCCGCTGAATATTGATCTGTCTGGTAGCTTCCCCCCGTAGCTAGATAACTGTTTTACTTGCTGATCAAGTTGTGGGAGTGCCGCAATGACCTTTTCAACACGCCAGAGCTCCAAGTTTTCAGAACGCGAAAGGACGCTCAGTGTAAAAACAGGCTCCTCTTCCGAAGGCCTAGACGCTAAGTAGCTGTTTCGCGAGGGGCGAAGTCGTGATGACGACACTTTAACTAGCACCAAAGGCAGAGCATTTGGAGGTAATAAAAAGCCTGGGTAGTCTTCTGAAACCAATCCCCGATAAATACCATCGGAGTTTGACACTGTGGACCTAGTGCTATCGGCTCTAACAGTGGCGTCGATCGAGGGGATAGATCGACTGGCTACGTCGACTGGCATGTGTGAATGTGTAGCGCTAAAGGGGGCCTGATACTTGCTGACATGAGGTGATAGAGCTAATCCCGAAAGGCCACTTTCTGTGGCTATCGGTTGGGAAGCCATGTTGTTGGTCATGTCTCTGGGCAACCGAGGCAAAGGGGAGTTGGGTGGGCGATCTTCAGGCCTTGGGCTGACAGGCAAGCCAGGGCTCTTCGGCGCCATGATAACAGGATGATCGCCGAGAGTCATACGAGGACTTAAAGGAGTTGTTAAATATTCAGATGAATCAGTGATTGGAGCTGCCTTCGTTGAATGAGAAGATTCGTTTCTCGAAGAACTAAGCGTAATATTTTCGCGTGCCAGGGCAGCTTCACGTTCACGATCATCGTCATCGCGTGTTTTTCTTCGTCCCCGTTCTACGGGTAATTCATCAACTGCCAAAATATCTTCATACTCAGATTCAGAGTCGTAGATGTCTGGGTTGCCCAATAAAGTGCGTTCGCCTTGGACGAGATTCAAGGGCGCAGGTGGAGGTTTACGCACAGGATGTGGGACTCTTTGCTGTTTATCTTCACCTGGTACAGTATCGTTAACAGGGGAGCTGGAGCTTGCCAAAGAACTTGGGCTCGCAGCCGCTAATTCTTGTTGAGGATACACTGATGGCGGGGGAGGTTGCGAGCCTAATCGCCGATCCAGTCCTCCTGTATGACCCGTAGAACACTCCTGAATCAGATTTTCCGATAAATCCTGTACAGCCACGTTCTGCGACCGGATAGTGCTAGATGATAGGTTCCGCCCGATAGAATTGGGGCTATGTGGTGACACACCTTGATACTGCGATTTCCCTTGCTCGGAATTCCTCTGTCCAAGAGATTTATCTTCACTTTCGATGGCTTTATGCTGGAAGTGAAGCTCATTGTTAGGTGGTAAAATTGGTGCAGGGCTCTGCAACTCCTTGAACTTCTTCCTATATCGCTCTTTCTCTTTCAAAGCACGTTCAAGATCTTTGTTTAACCCAAGGATAAGTGTTCTTTGTTTATCAACCAGTCTCCAAAGTTGTGAATTCTGAGATGCTGCATGATGCTTTTCCTTCAAAAGATGTTTGATTACTGCCTCGGCAGACCCTGCAGTGGCGATGAGATTCCCAATATCAGCTTGGCTCAAAGCTGTAGCATCAAATGAAGACTTATGGGACTGTGAGGCGGAAGAGAGAGATGATATCGCAGAGTCAATTGAAGAAGTGCGGGGCATGATGCGCTGCCCGGATCGCTCCCCCGGCGCCGAGGCAGATGATATAGGTGAAGGTGTTGAAGATTGGTTGGCTTCCATTGCGTATGAAGATTGTCGAGATTTAGTGGGCATTGTTTGTTCAATCATGTTCCGATCATGCTGGTCAGGCCTATTCAACAGCAAACTTCCAAATGCGCTCACTGAGACTTGTGTGGCACCGGATGGAGGCACCAGGAACGTCGCATGAGGTATTTAATAACTGATCGAGCGTTTTGAAAGCGCAAAAGTGCAACCAACTAACCTCCGCGACAGAGGACTTTGCGATGGGTTAGTGGTGAATTGGTGGGGTGACTGGAGGTGATTGCTTGTATACAGGGTAGTGAAGGAGATTTACGGAGAGCAATGACCACAGCCTCAGCAGCGTACGATCGTGGTAGCAGATGGTCACGGGCAATGAAGTGGTATCGCCGGTCAATGTTGAATGTGTAAGCAACCGATGTCTTGCTGAATGTGGCCTTGGAGGCCCTGCAAAGAGCTGGTTGAGGTTGTTGAAGTGTTGCTGCTGCCCTGCCGCCGAAGTTGCTACATAGCAGATTGTGTAGGAGTCGGAGCTCGAATTGGAAAAGCGGACCACGAGTGGGTGCTGGACTCGAGCGGGTAATTGAGTGGGTTATGGGGGTCGGCTCAGGGGTAAGATAGTAGTATTCCTATTACTACTTAACTGTCCTTAGTACCTATTTATTATTACCAGGTAATGTAGGTTACCGTGACCAAGGGAAATAATAATAGGTATACGAATAGTAGGTAGTTGGAAATAACTTACGGCACCAAATTATAGTAGTACAAACTGGGTAGATATGCATGGCTGTCTACTCTATGTAGTGGATAAGTATCAAGTGCATACTACTGAATGATAAAAATACACATACACAGAAAATACAGAGGCATAGATGGTAGATAAAGTGCCAGATTAGAATGTGAGTGCAAGGGGAAGATGTGTCTGTACTAATACTGTATATGATATACACATACAGACTACTACAGGAAACACAGAGTGCGGAAAAGGAGGAGTGCGACGTACTAGTAGCTCTAGTACAGTACATACATACATTTTTTAGTTTGCCCCACATACTAACTACTAGCAGTAAGTAAGTACATGGTGTTATTAATTAGAACTAAGTCCTACAGAGTATGCAACTAATGCCTTATCCAGATCTTCTTATTCACTTCTTTGTTCCCCATTCATTTGTCTTTTGCTCTGTATACTCACTGTATTTACAGAGTATGCCATTGTGGATATACTTCCCAAAACAGTAACATGGTGAATAATTGGGCAGTTATATTCACCTTACAACATATGTAGTTACAATGTTAATATTATGTAATCTAATCCCGTATTAATAAAATTTGTGCAATGTGCTTTGGTGGTACTGTTCCATGATTCAGCCTATGGCCGTGGATTAGTTAATGTATGTTTCGACAACTATCACCCTTTCGAATCCATTTCTATATTGTCAAGCAGACTATTCAAAACGTAGTATACAGGTTCAAGGGATGGATGGTAAAGGGGCTAAGCGGAGATCAATGAGAAGAGATAAAAAAGAATGAGCCCAGGTCCACGTCAATGCTACCAAAGGATGAGATGAGTATATCAAACAGGAGCTGAGGGAATCACGACGTCTATTCCTCGCTTCGGAAGATAATCACAAGGCGCTTCTAATTCCCCGAACGCCTTTATTGTCCAGATCTTAAAACGCCAGAGAATCACACATAGAAATACAAGGTCATGCTATATTTCCAGCCATACCCATAAAAATAGCCTGGGCTGCTAATTGGAGTGACCAAAACCCTACCTTCTTGAAACGTCGCTTGCGTGCTTGCTCATCCACAACATCTCGTGCGAATGCGTCATACACCTACAAGACATCAGCGTGAGTTCCACATTATGCGGAGAGAGACGGTCGACTTACCGCTGCCGAAAGATCATCCATTAAGCCGCTATCAAATATAGTCCAGCTGCCGTCGAAATCACCAACTCGCTTGACCAGGCGGCAATTAACAGGGATGAAAGTACGTCGTGAATTGATGTATGCCACAATGGGCCTGATGAGGGCATTGTTTATATATGAGAGATCTCGTGTGAATAAGGGGACAACCGCCCTAACATTGTTTAAGTGCAGTCGTAAGTCGGTGACTAGAAATCTCCTGTTGTTCTCACTAACAGTTTCGCCAGGCGGAGTTAGGTTTTCCGATAACGTATCACGGTACTGAGTAGATGTGACAGTTGCTTCTAGTCGATCATAGATGTCAGCCATTACCTTAGTTAGGCTTTCGTCATTTTCTGCTGGAAACATGATGTCGGCAACAATGTCGACAGTTCCTTCATGTATCCAGGAGAAAGGCCCTTGTACTCCGCGGTTTAGATGATCGATGTTCAAACCATCGATGCGTATCCGGCTATGTTTCTTCCAAGGACTCGTTCTGCCGTCCTCTCCTACTCCATTGTCTAACTGTGCTCCGGTGAAACTGTGAGTCTGTCGTGGATGAATAGTGAACAACGAATTGTCAAAAGATCCTGACATCATATTGGCTGACATGAAGTCATAAAACAGCCACTGCTTTCTCAGTTGTGGCAGATCGCAAGAGAATATACTGACAGAAAACGGTCTGAAATTGTCTGGCTGGTAAACCGTGACTAGCACATCGCTCATCTTAAAAGAATCGATCTCAAAGTCTCCGGGGTTGTGTTCATGCCGGTAGGATTTTGGGTCGAGGTCATCATCTGACCAATAAACATATCTGCGGTCAACAACGCCCCGTATCCCTTGAATCTCGACATCACGCAGTAGCCCTTTGCCGTTGATCCATTTGGTGAATGATAGTGTAACGTTCACTGTCTCGATTGCCAGGTCAAATTGCGTATAGTTCGTATCCTCTTCCACCGATGAGTGTCGTTGATCCAAGATGTCCGAGTTAGGCTGATCACTGAGCGCTGCAGCCGCAGCCACGGCAGCTGCAGTTTTAGGCGAGCCTTTACTAACATGACCTGTTCCTTGGCCGGGTCGCCTGGAGACAAAGACATTTTTGAACGTTATCACGCCATCTCTCCACTTGGGGACAATCGCTGACTCGAACACAACTTTCACTCCCGAAGATTTCGTGAGATAGTTACCTATCCAGCCAGCCAAGGTTTCTGTATATCCTTAGTAGATAATCGAATCACGGACATCCAGACCTGGAACATACCTTGAGCGAAAACGGTATTTATTGCAATGATCAACAAGGAAAAGAATGTAGTTGTGCCTAACACAACCCAGACAACATGCCCTAGAAGTACCCAGGAAAAGAGTGCTGTTATCTCGTCCAGATTAAAAGGTCGAACGCTTCGAATTGAGAACCACTTGAATCGTACTTTGAGCCGAGACCAAAAGCCGTTGGCTGCAGCCAATAGCTCCTCTTTGCTGGGTCGGTGCAATTGTGGCATGTGTGGGAAACGGTCAATCAGATGGCGGGTCGATGGCCCTGGCTGTTGCAGCCCAGGCATGTCCTGCTTTGACTTTGTGTTCTTCGTGTTCACCTCATATTCAGAAGATTTGGCATTCTCCCAGGAGCTTCCATTGCTGTATCTCAGAGATTCCATATGTGCCTCTATCTTCGGTGGATCATCCTTGCTCGCGCGGGAGCCTCTTGGTGGTGATGCATTTCTTGATGAGCCGTGAAGAAGCCTTCTATCGAACTTGTAGGTCCTGTGCGTAACATGGGCTATAATCTTTTCAGGGCCTACCGCACAAGTTGTCCCAGTCTCTACCGCAGTCGAGTTTGGGGATATTCCGAGTACAAGAAAACTGCCCGAAGCGAATCGTCTGGTGATTTGTGTCGTCTTTCGGGGTGGGAAGGAGGATATGTTCTTGGTCCGTCTTTTGAACAAAAGGTCGTATATGATGTTGTTCGAGTTTGTTGTTGTATCATAAAAATGTGGTGTGCGACTTGCCCAGAGCCCTCGTCCAAGGAAAGGATTCGCTGCTTCCCAGAAGCTGGTGTACAACCTGCGTCCAAAATTGCTAGACATTATTGCCGTCACATGCTGGAAATTGTATGATGATAAGGTGAAACAAGGGCCTTTCCAGTTATTTTGAAGCAGAAATCTAGTAGCGCTTTCCGAGACCTCCGATGAAATGTGACAGACAAATGTGTGCCTGTGGACTTCGAAGTCGAGAAGTGTTTAACGTTGGTTCTCGGACAAAGATTGCATGAAATCATAAACCCGCGCCTAAATACGTTTGTCTTGTTTGCAACCGAAAACTCTAGATTTCCCACTACATCGACCATCCTTTTACAGTTCCCGAAAATCATTACCAGCAACCCAAGCAAAATGCCAGCCCCAACAGCACTCAAGAAACTTGATCAGACAACAGCGGCCGGCACACCCGTCACTCAGGCTGCTATAGGTATGTTTTATATATGTTAAGTCTCCACCAGCTATTTAACTAACTTCTAAGACCAAGATGACGAAGTTCTAATTGATGCCCAGACATCAGCGGAGCAAAGCGTACCGGTGTTTGTCTCCGCAGACGAAAATGCTTTAGACACCGACATGCGCATTGATGAGGAAGGTCGGCCAGTTTTTACGCCAGCAAAGGATACCAATACTGTATATCGAGTAGAAACTCGGAAGGTGCCTGTTCCTCCACATAGGTTTTCGCCTCTCAAGACCTCCTGGAGTAGAATATACCCCCCGCTAGTTGAGCACCTCAAGCTACAGGTGCGCATGAATATCAAAAGCAGGGCGGTTGAGCTACGTACTTCTAAATTCACTACCGACACGGGCGCACTACAAAAGGGCGAAGATTTTGTCAAAGCCTTTACACTTGGGTTCGATGTTGACGATGCTATTGCATTACTCAGATTGGATGACCTCTATATCCGATCATTTGAGATCCGTGATGTTAAAGCATCGCTCCATGGAGAACATCTTAGCCGCGCTATTGGACGGATTGCGGGCAAAGACGGCAAACTTAAGCACTCAATAGAAAATGCCACCCGTACTAGGATTGTCCTCGCAGATCAAAAGATACACCTATTGGGTGGCTATCGCAACATCCTGGTTGCACAAGAAGCTGTTGTCAGCTTGATTCTCGGAAGCCCACCGGTAAGCCTGCCCATCTGTCATCAAGACATCCAAATACTAATTTACAATAGGGCAAGGTATATGGTAACTTGCGCAAAGTGGCATCACGCATGAAAGAGCGCTTTTAATGCCCGCGTACAGTTTTTTTTCTACTATTATTTTTTTTTCTAGATCTCTTTCGACCATGGTACTGGCGTTAAAGGTGGAAACGAAAATGGCTTCGACATAATTGACATGATGGTGAAGAAAAAGTGGTTTACACCAGAATTATCGTATCCATGCTTTTATACCATGAGTAACGAAATACCGGAATGAACTTGATGAGACGCAATGTCGAGTATAGCCTCCCTCTAGTCCTTTTTCAGTGGAGTGTAGATTTCTTCTATCCCGTTTTGCGTAATAACCATCATTTGCAAGCCATCTCCAACTTCGATATGTCGCTCTACAGCGCTGGTAAATGCATCACGCACGAGCTGTTCGACGGTCCCCCTGGGTAATGGCTGAGGCTTCTTAGGTTCGAGAGCATGCCCGTCCCCACTGCCGGGGATGTATTGATTTTTGAAGTTGACTTGGTTATCCAAGAATGGCATGATCAAACTTGCGGCGGATCCGGCTGCTCTGCACTGTTCTCTTTCGTATGAGCCTACCGGATCGTAGCTGTACAACGCTCCTTTGCCCTCTTCATCCAAACCGGCCAGAATAGCATGCACATAATAGGGAAAGAAACGCTTTTGGTAAAGAATGGTCGACAATCGCTGAGCGCAGGCTCTGACAGACATAGGCTTCCCGTGCTGATACTTGTACATCTTCACCACTGCATCTAATCTTTCTTTGAGTGCTTGGCCATCCGCAGCGAAGCCCACGACCGACAGAATAATATGGGCACCCTCGCCAGTATCATCATCACCACCAATTTTGAAAACCTTGGGAGCATAGCGAGAATTGATATTATACCCTGCCACCGAACGAGTGTCTCCGGCAAGGATAGCGAAGTCAGCACCTGTAATACCCAAAGTCGAGCCACCGTTGTCAGTGTACCTAGTTAGGTCAGCATCAGCGCCCAGACTACTTATAAGAGTTCGATACATACGGGTAAAATGAGTGTTCTTTGTTTGGAGCGTTTGTTGGCTTAGAGAAGGAGTAGCCGACGGCCTCGCTCTGAGGTTGGTGACCCATGAAAGACATCATCTTCTAAGTGGTATCTCAGTATCGACCAAGGTTAGGAGATAATTCGAAGTGAGTACAGGGAGAGTGTAACGTGGAGTCGTTAACTTGGATAACACAAATGGCTTCTAGATTTGAATGAATCTCGATCGGGGGAAGAAGATGAGTAGTTCTTGGGTGGAGCTATTACTAGTATTATCGCTGTGACGCGGTGCAGCTGCCTTCGGCTTATATAAGCTGATAGCTCACAGCTCCCTTCTCCACTAGTACTTGTATTGTCTTTCCACTGCAAGCAAAACAGTGCAGTACGTTTGTATTGAAACGATTGAAGCCAATCCAGTCTCAGACTTGTGGCTGCTGCTTTGACTGACATTTAACGGTAGAGAGTTCAATCTTAACCATACTCTATAGCTTGCGAAACGAGAGAGCGCCCACTCAGACGACTCATCCGACCTCAGACTTGCAATCATGTTAGGCCTTGGAGCGTATGAAAGCAGCAGCGAGGATGAGACTGCGAAGAAGGCCCCCTCAGCAACAAAGGTGATATACACAACCTCGATGTGTACATATATTTGAGGCTAAGCCGTTCAGTGCATAAATAAGGGGCAGCCAGTTCAAGTATTGAAATCAGCATATGCGGGTATGTTTCACACTCATCCTTCCAGTTGCTCACGTCTAATCGTACATCACCTCTAGTGCCTGATAAATGCCCAAATTTTCCTGAGACGGCTACCAGCCGAGAGCCCAGTGGTCCTATTGTTGGGCCATCACATGAAGAAGCACAGCCAGAACCGCACTTCAGCGAGCGATCCCGCTTGTCCAATTCCCGTACACTTATTCATGACTTAACATTACCACCGGTTCCGAATTTAGATATTCCTCTATCACCTCCTGGCTCACCCAATTCCAACGTGAATGCAAAATTCGCCCATTTCCTATCGTTGAAGAAACAAGGAGTTCATTTCAACGAAAAGTTAGCTTTCTCAGCATCCTTAAAGAACCCCAGCTTACTCAAAAAAATGATGGAGCATGCGGGTATTGATGATCAGATGCAATATTTTACCTCCTTGCCGCCTGAAGTATGGAACGTTTCGGGTCTACCGAGATGGGGTTTCAAAGAAGAACTATTCAAGTCACAGAAAAAGTTTCACCAGAAAGCCGAAGAGCAGTGGAGTGCGGACCAAAGAGAGACAATTGAGTTTGTTGCCGCCACAACTACCGATTCTGATGGTGTGAGGTCAACCTCCAGTTCACGAGCGAGACCATGTTAACTCTTCATGAACATGATCAGACCTTGCCCATTGGGAGCTCTTCATGAAGGTTGTTGCGCACAGTGCCTAAAGGACAATTATTAACACCGGAGAAAATAAATTCATATTACTAATAAAATGTGCTATACACAAAAGCGCAAGAGGGGTTTTCTTTGACCCCATCTTAATCCATGAGTATTTTGAATACAACTGTATAGTTCGACAAAGGAGTAACAGTACCAACTCCGGCCTATAATCTGTTTCTTGCTACATCCAAAGATAAAGAATTGTAGAATTATTGCTTAACTGGGTTGTAACAAGATGCGACAATTGAGGTGCAGACGAAGTTGCGTCTAGTGAGGTAGGGAGGTATTGATGGGCTGCAGAGAGACTCGCTAAGCGCGTGGACAGTACGGAGTACCGGTTCCGATAAGCGCGCCGCCCGTGGGTGTTGCTAACGTAACAACGAGCTCCGTCAGCTCTCTACTGCCTAGCTTCACCTGAGTGCTTATTACCCAATTTACCAACTCAACTCTTCCAGCTGTCAAATCAAATCTAACCAAGCCTTCTACTCTGAATCAACTTTCTAATATCTCCAGTCACTACATTGTTCTATAGATCATAATTTCCCACCTTTCACCATGAATCACTATCCTGAAGTCTGGGGTCGGGTAAGTGCTCTATTACATGAGTGCTCTGACGTCTCTAACTGTCTTCCTCAAGCCTAGGGATGATATCTACGGGCCTTACAACTCCTCATACCTTCAGACCACTGGCCCCAAAACTCACACCCAGTCTCCTGCTGTGACTGGGACGTCAGTATTAGCGGTCAAGTTTAACGGTGGTGTGGCGATCGCTGCTGATAACTTGGGTATGGTCGCAGGCCTTTGATGTCATGTGGGAAGCTCGTAGTGAAAATATTGACATTTTCCAGCATCGTACGGATCTCTCGCTCGGTTCACCGATGTTAAACGCCTGCGTGCGTTCGGTGACTCTGCCGTGGTCGGCTTCAGCGGCGATGTATCAGATATGCAATACATCGATCGGCTTCTGGAATCTATTGACATTCGAGAAAACTATTCGACACACGGTAATATGCTGAACGCCAAAAACCTCCATACATACCTTTCCAAGGTCCTTTATAAACGTCGCTCTGAATTCAACCCGCTCTGGAATCATATTCTCGTCGCGGGATTTGATGAAGACAAGAAACCCTTCCTCAGCTCGGCCGACCTTCTCGGTACTACATATTCAGCTCCACATCTCGCAACCGGGTTTGGTGCGCACCTTGCTATCCCCATCTTGCGTCGGCTGTTCCCTGAAGAGAAGCCCCTCGAGGAGATCAGTAAGGGCGAGGCAGAAGCGGCTTTGAGGGAATGCCTTAAGGTTCTGTGGTATCGAGATGCACGAAGTCTGGATAAGTATTCAATTGCAGTAATCACAGCGGAGGGAATTGAGATCAAGGAAGATCAGGTGATCGAGGCCCAGAGCTGGGCGTTCGCTGAGTCTATCAGGGGGTATGGAGCTCAAGTCAACTAGGTATAGCGTTGGTCATCGGCAAGAATTAACTAGCAAGGTCTTACAATTCCACGACTAAATAAATTTTCTTATTGGCAGAGAGAATCCATAGCGATCATGTTTCCACGGCAGACAAGGCAAATCTTTCCAGTCTTGTAGTACCTGCTAAAGATTCATCTAATTCTAAACGGTCTCTTTCATAGCTTAGATGATGGCTTTTCAAAGGCGACTCGGTTAACGCACGAACCCACATCTTCCAGAGAGACCTCAACCTGATCGCCATTTGTAAGCCAAGCTGCAGGTTTCCGGCCCATCCCAACACCCTGTGGCCTATAAAGGGACATGTAAGTGAGTAGTCCTTCTTTGGGGAGCAGAAATGAAAGATGAAGTAATGAGGTAGAAGGGAGATACAACTTACGTTCCGGTGAAAATTAGGTCACCAGGCAGTAGAGTGGTGCCTTGGGAGAGAAATGACACCATCTTGGCGACCCCAAATATCATATCTTTAGTTGATGATGACTGGACCGTTCGACCATTGACCTTAGTTGAGATATTTAGGGCGTTGGGATTGCGGATCAGCTTTGAAGAGACGATGCCTGGTCCAAAAGGTGCCCAACCATCGAAGCCTTTGCCCAACCCCCATTGTCCTCCGCCACGTTTGAGCTGCCAATCACGATGGGAAATATCGTTTCCTACAGCATACCCGAGTACATAATCCAAAGCATGCTCCTCAGGAATATTCTTGGCTTCTTTGCCAATGACAAGAACTAACTCACATTCATAGTCCAGTCCCTCCCCATCTTGCGCCATAGAACATACGGGGATATCATCATGCGGACCAGTAATGGCTGTGATGGGCTTGTAAAAGAGGACCGGATACTTGGGGATGGGGAGGTTGGATTCTCTCGCATGCTGCTCATAGTTCAGTCCCAAACAGCGCACCGTCGCAACGTCCTCCCTCGCCAATGGTGCGAGGAGCGTTTTAACCTCAGCCACTTGGTTTGTGACTTGATGCTGGCCAAAAATATCCCCCTGAATCACCTGTGCCCTAGTCGCTTTCCCAATGTCACTGACACCAGTGGGCATAATGGCATCACCATAGTAAATGTGACCATCTGTAGCTAGAAAGCGGATGAGACGCTACATGGCCGAGGGGGAAAAACTGTCAGCCTACTTGGTGGGAATAAAGACGATACAGAGAATAGGATTAGGCAACATGGCTAGATAACCAGGGTTGATGGCTATTTCTTCGTGCCAGTGACATGAGACATGGTATATGCGTGACAACCCCAGATGTTAATCTGGGTATTGATATGGGTATGGGCGTAATGTATGAATACTTACAGAGAAGGTAGTCATTTTCATATCAGTGTTTGACTCCATGGAGAAGAGCAGAAAATGACAGGAGGATAGATCCTACTATTTGAATGGCCCCGACATAGGACTTTCATGGTCTGATTTCACTTAAATCGTACATATTATATGTATGTATGTGCATACCTATGGGCTATCTTATCTGTCTCTCGGCCGGGAAAAGGAGATACCCGCTCGCTCCTCCCCCAGACTGGCGGGGACCGGAGGCTGGCGCTAGCACAATACTCACTATGTTCCGTGTTGCGGCTTACCCAGTGACCTTCCCTTATCTATCTCCGAAACATCCGCCCAATGATGCGCTGAGCAAATTACACAGCACACATTGCCTTTTGGTGACATCGTGCAAAAACGTCATGGCTCGATTATCAGGTCTTCAGAGAGAGGTATTGTCTCTCTATCGGAAATGTTTGAGAGAGATTCGAAAGAAACCCTTAGTGAGCAACAGACCTGTCTGAATTATCATTTTAATAAACATACATCTAGACTAATACGGTGTCCTACCCCGGCCCAGGAGACGAGAAGTAATTTTAAGACTTACGCTAGGTATGTCCCTGCTTCGGTGGTAATGGTGTTCTAACTCCGCTAAACGTTACATGGAGGAGTTGCTCATGACATGACACAGGACGGAATTTCAAAAATACATCACCGTTAACAAGAAGGATTTCAATGCTATTGAGTATTTACTGCGCAAAGGGCATAGGCAGCTTGAAATGTATTCCTCCCCTGGAATTCGCAATATCCAGTAGCCTGGATGATCAAGCACTATCCGCAGTCAAAAATTGGTCCAAAGCGACAGAGGAAAGAAGGAGAAAAAAAAAGAAAAAAACAAAAGGGAAGGGGGAAATGGAATAGAAAGCAAGAAAGCATAAGTAAGCGAAGTAGAATAATATGTGAATACATAAACTTGAAAGATAAAGGAAAAACGACGAGGTTAGGTAACGTACAAGTGCAGACAATATCAGGAATTAGAGTCGCCCACATCTAGGTAACCATTATCACTTATCCAGACGGGCATTTTGGGCTCCTTAGTGTTTCCTGAGGTATGGTGTCATGTGATCCATCTTTGGCGGTTACGGAAGGTTCGGGCAACTTCTCGTAAGTATAGCGAAGTTCTCCAGAGCCATCTGGTAATCTCCAGAGAATATACTAGTCTCCCCCAGAGCATTCAGTCTGCTTATACGTACAACCAAATAAGATATGATAGTTACTTCTAGAATAAAATATTTTGAGTATAAAAATGGATAGGCAAGTTGTATTATTTACCCATTGTCTCTCAGATAGCACGAAATACATCAATATTTACAATTCTTGACTTGACGCTCCTAAGAGTCTCAGCATCACTTCCGATAGTATACTACCAAACCCTCAATTATAACGCATCTTACTTCAAGCTATGGCGTTCTTCCCCAACATCTCCGGCGACTTCGCTCCTTTGTTCCATTTACTTGATGACTATGATGTCCACCGAGCATGCCGCCCAAAGCGGAGGACTACACCTGTTCGCTCTTTGACGCCTCGCTTTGATGTCTATGAAATAAACAACAGTTACCACCTTAATGGAGAGCTACCTGGCGTAAATCAAAGCAGCCTCGATATCGAGTTCACCGACCCTCATACGCTGGTCATAAAGGGCTGCGTCGAGCGCAACTACAGCGACAGCACATCCAATACCAAAGAGCAGGCCGAAGTTCTCAATGACGCCTCTTCTGTCAAGTCACTCCAGCCAACAGTTGAAGACGAAGATGAAGAAGCAAGCGACACAGCATCTGCCAGTTCATCTACCAAATCTTCAAAGCAGGCGACCGCCCAAGAGCAGACCAAATCGCACTACAAATATTGGATCGCCGAGCGCCCAGTTGGCGAGTTCCACCGAGCCTTTACTTTCCCGACAAGAGTAGATCAAGATACAGTCAAGGCTACTCTGAAAGATGGGATCCTTTCCGTTATTATCCCAAAGGAACCTGCCCCAACCTTAAAGAAAATCCGCGTCGAGTGAATTGCCAACTGTTGGGTTCGTGCGATTTCAACACCGGAATCTATGATATAACTCCATTATGAATTTGGGAAGGCCTATATGAGACGTTGAAGACGGTTGACTGAGCATGTTTAGTTGACATGCTATGGCGGGTTTGAGTCCTAAGGAGTTTTGCGGGTCATGGAATTGCATGTCTCCTCGTTGTTGTATGACTTGTATTATAGACAACTTATGACTGTTTAATGAAGATTTGACCTACTTTTAACCTGGAGTTATTGCTTCATCTTGTACAGAGTACTTATGACGTAAATCAATGAAATAACCCGAGGAAAGCCAATACTTCGACGGTATGCCATTAGTGTAAAACCCTTGCTTCTTGCAAATGATTTGGGCCGATGTGCATACACGCATACATATCCCCTGTATGCGGTGGTATTATTACTGTCATATTAGCATCCATACAGTTTGGGGTATAACTTCAAAGGTTGGCCAGTAACATGGCGTAGCCGGAGAAGTTATTAGGAACTGCAGGAAGCAACAACATGATATATAGTATAATACTAGTAGAGTATATGCTGGCATGTGCACTGCCTAAGAGTAACCATCTTTTGATTACTATTCATCCTATTCTAGTTATTTCCTTATCATCCGTTATTTGTGAATATAGACAGAGTGGCTAAGAGCAGGATTTCGTCCCAGATAGTGGCGCCATTGTTGCTCACAACAGGCCTATTCATGATGAGACACTTCCGGGCAGATAGATAATGTAGTCTGCTAAATATATCTATAAATGCTCAAATTGCATATTCGCCTCTATCTTACCAGGCCATTGGGTCCCTAAGGCTAGATTTATATCTTTCTTCTCGGTCTACACCATTTACAATGTGAATTGCCAAACGCTACCTTCAGGGTGTCTGACTTATTCACTGGTACAGTAAGTGGTTGCTAAACATCGCTTCGCTGCTATATTGCCCCAAGTTATTTACTTCAAAGCTCACACTTACAGCCTCTGTTGCATCGTGATGTGTATCTACAGAGAGAAAGAGAGCGAAAGAGGAAAGAATATAAAAAAAAGCCAAGCAAAAAAAAAGGGGTTGGTAAATATGGCCCGCATAGTTCATGTGTATTCCCCTCCATAATAGGAGAGAAGGGCAACGAAGAGAAAGGGACAAAGAGAAGGATAAAGACAAAAGAAGAAAAGGAAAAGAAAAGAGTGGCTTGACCGCCCATTGAAATCAGTAGTAGGAAAGATGGAACTTGAGTGGAACAATAGTGCTTTAGTAACAAAAGGTCGTCGACACGGGTATATCCAAAATGCAAGCTAGGAACCTCTCACAGTGAAACCTTTGATAATGTATTAACGCCGTATAAACACACACATACGTTGAAAAGAAAGGGATTAACGATAGATGAAAGGTGATACTACCGCGTACATATTTTGTTGGTTTTGCTGTTTTGCCGACATGCGTCGTTCAATATCCAGAGTTCGACTTCTTGCTCTACCTCTCAGGGATTCCGTATACATGTACCCTACATCCACAGCCCTTCCTGGGTACTGTGATGTGGGTGCCACAAGTGCCTCAATCTCTGATTCTAGGTGCCGAACATTTGCATTGGCCGCTATAGCTTGTGGGTTTTGCCCATACGCTACACTCAAAGTTTTCTTGACAATGCTTTTCTCCAACTTTGGCCGACATGAGTTGAAAATGTAAGACTGGTCGCTGTTAATACCAGCGTCAATTTTCCTTTGATTTGAATTCTCCAGCCCTGTGTCACGGTCATAGCTGAGTCTTGAATAATGATTTGCGAAACTTTCATAGATCTGTACGTCTGATATAGTATCATCAGCCGCTTGGATCGCGGCTGTATCTGGTATATGCTTCGGAGGAAGCGAGGTCCCACTAGAGGAATCTTCCGAGCGGCGTAGCTGTGTGCAGTACCGAGAAAGGGATATTGTGTGACCAGGGTGTTGTGGCGAAGTAAGGGAGAAGCTTCTCAGGCGTCCACTGGCTGATATCTGTGGCGCCTCATGGCACATTGTTGCCCTGTCTGTTGACCAACCACGGGTTACCCCACTAGGACTCATTCTAGGACCTTGGAGATTTAGATGGTGGTTTATAGGAAGCTGCTGGCTCAGCTCCAAGTGATTCTCTACATTGCACAACTCAGTGCCTTTGCTGCCCCCGAGCGTAAACCTGCGATAGCCCGAAGGCCGTTGTGTTGATTCCTGGGAATCAAGAGAAGCCCTAGTGCGGTTGTCTTGTAGAGAGCGGACTGATGCAGCAGAGCTGTAGCCGCTATCTACTTTTCTGTACGAATGCGATATCCTTCTCGGGCGGGAAACTTCTTGAGAAGTGTCTCTCATGAAGTTCAAGGGGTTTTCATCATCAGATACATATATAGCTTCGTCTTCCACTTCCTTAGCATAGGACTTATGGGATGTTGCGATAATCGGAGATTTCTCAAAAGAAAATGGACTGGCCGGAAAGTCATCGTATCTCGTGGCGTCGGGGAATTGTGGTATCTGTACGGTAGACGTAGACGGCTTACTTCTGAAGAGACTCGGCACATGCTCGCTGTTAGGGCCATCGTCACTGGTGTACTCCGACACTGGGGCGGCCACAGGGCCCCAGATTCCTTCAGGTCTGCTTTGACGGTCACCCATGTCCGAAGAACTTGATGTAGCCATACTGGCTGGATCATTTTGAGTCAAATAATCTCTGCTACAACGTAGCTCTGTTGTATGTACGGTGCTAGTCTCCTCAGTTGGGCTGCTTGGCCTGAGTCGGCTTCGGTCGCTGGAGCAGGGGGAAGCTGAGCCGTTCACTACCCGCAAAGACCCCAGCTTAAGAGCTCCTAAATGGGTGTATCCGAAGTCACCAGGCGTTGGCGGGCGAACCTCAGCAAGCGGATTAGTATGTTGCAAAACAGGATCTTCGCAATCTATTAGTGGCCACTGGAATAGCTGAGGCGGCTCGTCTGTACAGCTGGGCGAAGACGCTAGCTCTTGTCCGATTGGTGATGGACATTGTTGAGCCACACCTCTTACTGATCGTCTCGTGGCGATTCCGGGGCGCGTGAGTAAAGAGCGCCGACGGATCAAGGAGAAGCCTGGGCTATCTATCATGAAATGGGTGTTCGAAGACGCGGCTTCTTCAAGGCTGCTTTGGTGTATGGCGCTTCTTGTACCCTGCGCAGCTGAATGGACTGAATAGGACCTCCTTGGCGGTCCTGATTGAACCGACGGAGATCGAGGGGCACTGTGTAAGGTGCTTGACTGCCTGGATGGCTGAAAAGAAGCTCGCCTGCACAAAGGTCCCGGTACACCTGAGTGGGAAGTGTCTAGACGGAGGCGAACATGATCTGGTTCTCCGGATAAGGGCTGATGCGTTCCAGGTCTGTTGACGCCCGTCCATGGCGTCTCAGACTGCAGTGATATCGGGAGGATTGACTGCGACCTTCGGTCATTGGATTCAGGGTCAGGCGAACCGATAGGAACGGAGGCAACAGTCGAAGAGTCTTGCCAGGGAGCACGGTTGGGTGCCACGGGAGAATTGACACCCGAAGTTTGATGGGATGAGCGGCAACTTGCTGAACGGGAGGTGAAAGTCGATGGTGGCTTTGACAACCGGTTTGATCGGCGCTGTTTGTTTCCACTTTGTATAGAGAGGAAACTTCCCATGACTTGCGGGCAGTAGTAATGCCCAGTAGAGGCTGAGACTCCTGATACTGCCAAATCAAATCATATATGCATATACCTTAGAGAATATACAAGCACGACATGTGCAGCCACACAGATGTTAATACTTTGAGAAGAGCATCCAGGGGATTTTCTTTCTTTCTTCTTTTCTTTTTCGCCTGAGTGTTTCGAATTATAGGGTCAATCTCCTTTCAATGCTGTAGATGCTGACGTCGACGGCTCGCTATTGTCTGCACATGCCACTGCTTACAGTTCTCGGCTGAAGACGGCTTGTTCCAGACGGACAGGCTTCGAAGAGTTTTAGATAGTCAACCAAGGATAGAAAGGTTTCCAGATTCTCCCTTGGAAGGGTTGGTGGCCTGCTGCGGAGATGAGAAGGTCCAAGGTCGTGGAAGTTGTTGTAGGAATGTGGGAGGATAGTTGAATGAAAGACTCGTGATTATATTTAACGACCAGAGAAGGTGGGCAAAAAGATATTTGGCCAGGATAAAGACGTGATGATGTCGAGGGACGAAGAGGCTATACAAGGTCGGTTGGCGCAGTGAAACAACAGCACTATGAAAAACAAACACAGCTTATCCTTGAAACGAGATGAAGAAATGTACCTGAAGGGGGAAAAAAAAGAGGGAAAAAGAAAATAACGAGAAGCCAACAAAGAAGTGGAATACGAGCAGAGTCAAACTGGAGACAAGTAAGGGAAAAATAAGATACATAACCAAGTGGAGAGAGACAAGATTGTCATGGTTGAACATGCGAGAAACACCTAACAATGACGAATGCGTTACCCACTGGCGCTACAGCTCCCGTGGGGAACGGAATTGACGGATCATCGCGGTCGGAGGGCGACGAAGGTTGAGATGCGAGCCAGATTGACAAGGCCATTGTACTGTACCTACAAACGTAAACCCGGTGGGTATATCCCGTAAGTAGTAGCAGTAATGAGGGAGAAACACGACACCATGAACGAACACGGACAGGCCGACTGTTACAGAAGCCGAGATGCAGCCAGAAGCACCTAAGAGGCAAAGCAGAAAATAATCCATCGAATGATGAACCTTGGAATTCCGAAGTCTTGCTTAGTTAGTTTAGTTAACCAGCTAACTAGTTCTATCCTTCGAGGAAATAGTGGGGATTAGTATCTCAGCTATGGAGCATATAGTACGGAGTAGTTGGGAGAAGAATCCAGATCGCTATCCACCTACAGAGTAGTAGGCCCTACACAGAACCTACTAGTAGTAAGGTTGGTCTACCTCCAGTAGTCTGGCCTAGGCCAGGGGAGCGCTTGATAGCATGATTGGATGGCTATGATGAATCTTGGTCGTGCCGCAAACAGGAAAACCTAAAAAAAAAAAAAAAAAAAGTTCAGCCACGATGATGGCCATTGCATAGAAAAAGTTAAGAAATAATGATCGTCGGAAAAATTGTAATTATCTGGTGATTATAAAATAGTACATATCCAATATTAGAGTACTACTAATTACCATGAACTTCATTGTTTCTTTTGATATTTGTTATATGTAAACAAACAAATGGCCAGAAGATAGAAAGAAAAAGAAAGAAAAGAGAAGGGAAGAGGAAGAGGAAAAGGAAAGGGAGGAGACGGAGTATAGAACCGATCAGTACTGAGTACATTGATTAGGTACAGTACATAGTACTACCTTACACAGTAGCACTCAGGCTAATATGGCTTACGTGCTGTACAGTCATTATAGATACATGCCCGATACAACCCGGAGGAAACTTGAATTTGGTACGTATGGACATACATACGGAGTACTCCATGCGTAGGGGACTTCCACGAACTCAGCCACAAACCCCCACTCCATTATCGGGATCTATGATCTGTTCATTATGCTGGCGATCTTTACCGCTCTCTACACAGTAAAACCCTTTTTTTTTTTTTTTTTTTTTTTTTTTTTTTTTTTTTTTTTTTTTTTTTTTTTTTTTTTTTTTTTTTTTTTTTCTCTCTTTTTCTTTTGTTGTCCTTTCTCTTGGCCAGTTCTGGATTCCGTGTTCAGGTTCGCCGAATACTCCGGAGTAGTGCTGTGGACTCGTCGTTGGATTGATGGGCACGTACTACTGCCGCAAACAATAAGCCTCGTAAATGATCATTCTTAGCCCAAGAACGGCGTTGGGTTGAGACAGCGCAAACCGGATCGGTGTGCATCGAAAGGAGTCAGCAGAGATCACGTCAATGCAAAAAGTGTCTGCCGCAGATGTTCCCTGTCGGTCAGTGGAGGTAGAATCACACCGCGTCTTTACCAGCCGCATGGCATCATCTTCTCTTTCGAGCCAGAGGGTTGTATCGGCCTTTCCTCTTCTCACACCAGAGGAATTCGAATGTGCCTGTCGCGCCTTCCTGGATCGCATTCATGTGTTGGGCAGCTTAGATGGGGTGGGATGGTCCTCGATCCGATTTGTACAACAGGTAGCGGCTGCCTTTTCTTTGGGGTTGTTCCAAGATCCGTCCAATGACAATTGATCTGGTCATCAATGGCTGTGTTTCAGAATTGAATGCGGGGCCTTTTCTTTCTTGGGTTTGCTTCTACACCTACTCTTTTCTAACTATTTCTTTTAGGCAACCGGTGCAGTTCTGAAGATATCTCGGAGCATTCACAATTCCAATACGCCCTACTACGACACCCTGTCCGCATCTGTAGATATTGAAGAACCGCAAGTGGAAATTTGTGAAGATGATCCTGTCCGTGGAGAATCATTAGTGCCATTGTACATTCTTCGTGTTATCTGACCAGTATCTCAACAGGAGGCCCTCATTCGCGCATCCCACTCTAGCAACTGTTTACACATAGAACATGACGTTATTCTCTCCCCCACATACCAAGTCCCTGTTTTGTATTTCACATTACGGCGGGCCAATCATCCCGGGCCGTTGGGGATAGACGAAGTCTACCAATATCTGGTACCAGACCAGTACAGAAAGGAACTTCAAGATGTCGGTGTCATGGGTGGCATTAGTTTCGGAGTATGTGCAAATGACTCTTCGGGCCATTCCGTCCATTGTCGCTTATGATTCGTAGTACCATCCACAATCCGGAATTCCGGCGTTCTTCGTTCACCCATGCAACACCGCAGACGCTATGAAGCAAATCGCAGGCCAGAAGCAGGTTACGCCCGAGGCGTATCTCGTTATATGGCTCGGTATGGTTGGCAATCGCCTCAGTCTTCACCTGCCACATGAACTCTTTGCAAAAGAGGGCGTGCAAAAACTCCAAGGTCTAGGTTAAATTGTTTCGAAGCAGGCACAGCCTGGCAAGGGTTCTCTGTTCCTCCCCACTCTTTCCCGGCCAGTTTGTGGTCGGGAAAGCTTAATCTTCGTCCGACGAATCTTCCATGGGCACATCGCTTTCCTCGTCCATTGGGGCTTCTCCTTCATCACTTTCCTCCTCACGGGGTCGTTTGACTCCCTGAGATGCAGCCTCCCCATTCATTTCAGTGGGTCTTGAGGGTAGTGCGGTTGAACCAGGAGGCCCGCTGAAGATGGACTTTTGAAGATCCGTTGAGGCACCTCCAGCTGGTGCAGAAATAGTTGTCGACACATTGTAGGCTCCACGGAGCCTAGCAATCACATCCGATGTACCTTTGGCATAGACAAGTTTCTAGATCCCACATGAATGAGCATGGCATGTCCTTAATGGCACAATATGGAGTGAAACATACCATTTGCTTCCCAAAGAATTCAAAACCCTGAAGAGCGCGCATTGCTTGAGTACTCGCTTGCACGTCTTTGAATACAATATGGGCTTGGCCGCGCATCTTTTTTGTTTTCATAGCCACGACATCTAGAACCGTACCATAGGTGGAAAAAAGCATATAGAGTGAGAGACGTAGGTCATATTTGGGAAGCTTATCCGGAAGATTGGTACAATAGAGGCTGAAAGATTGTCAGAAGCTCTGGTGTCGAATATGGGGAGAGGGGATTTTCACTGACGTTTGATTTGGAAGACCAGCGGCTGAACCGGGTTTGCCCGAAGGATTATTGCGCGTAGGAGCTACTTTAGATGCCATTGCTTGTCACTTGCAAGCTTTGAAGTTGCTTAATATGAGGCGATGTAGCGGGCAAGGCCAGACAGAGGAGAATGTTCTTAGGAGCTAATATGAGAAATAAGGGCGGTGATACTGGATTCAGCGGATTTGTTGCGGTACGGGAGTATCTAGCGTGTTATTGGACCAGCTTGAGAGAAGATCATGTGATATATTATATAATCACTCGCCGCGTCATTGATGGTTAAGTCCCCTCAGGGACGCAGTTAACTGCGTCAACAATTTCAGAAGCAATCGGTATTCACAATTGACCGACAGTAGAGAGCTCCTCCTGTCGTCTGGACTACAATGGCTACCCCGGAAGTTCACCACCTCTTTCATAACCCCATTGCTGATCACTCATTTTCCCCTGATAAGTCAACGCTTGCAGTTGCTCGGGACAGCAATGTGGAGCTATACCAGAAAGCGGGCAACAAGTTCTCGTTAACCGATGAACTCAAAGGCCATGAAAAGATTGTGACAGGTGTTGATATCGCTCCTAATAGTGGCCGGATTGTTACTTGTTCGCAGGGTATTTGCTTCCATTCCCTTTCCTGTACTATCTTCTGACCCATCACTAAATCTAGATCGCAATGCATATGTTTGGGAGCGAACCTCCACTGGCTGGAAACCGACTTTGGTCCTGCTTCGGATCAACAGAGCTGCAACCTTTGTGAGGTGGTCTCCATCTGAACAAAAGTTTGCTGTTGGCTCAGGGGCCCGTGTGATCGCTGTTTGCTACTTTGAGGAAGAAAACGACTGGTGGATTTCGAAACACCTGAAGAAGCCTATACGGAGTACCATCACCACACTTGCTTGGCATCCGAACTCTGTTCTTCTGGCTGCAGGCTCGACTGATTCCCACGCGAGAGTTCTTTCCAGTTACATCAAGGGTGTTGATACCCGCCCCGAGCCAAGCGCCTGGGGAGAACGTCTCCCATTTAACACTATATGTGGAGAGTTTTTGAATGACTCGGCGGGATGGATTCAAGGAGTGTCCTTTTCTCCAAGTGGAAACGCGCTTGCATTCACTGGACATGACAGTAGTGTCACTGTTGTGTACCCTAGTGCACCCGACCAACCTCCTCGGGCTATGTTGAACATCACCACTCGCTTCTTACCGTTCAATAGTTTGATCTGGAACGGAGAGAACGAGATCATCGCTGCTGGCCACGTGAGTTCACTCGACGTGCCCCAGTCAACGCTCTGTTTTACTTACTCGAATAGGATTGCGAGCCGTACCGCTTCCATGGGGACGAGAATGGATGGCAGCTTACAGGAACTATCGAAAACAAGTCCGGTTCCGGTGTGGGTGCTGTTCGCGAGGAGTCTGCTCTTAATATGTTCCGTCAAATGGATCTCAAGGGACAGACCCAGGCCGATACCCAACTCAAGACGGTCCATCAGAATACTATCAACACTGTTCGCATATATGAGGAGGCGAACGGAATTGTCAGCAAATTTAGTAGTAAGTTTTGGGACTGTCTGCATACGCCGATTCATAAGCCAATTAGTCTTGAAACTAACTTTTCCAACAGCGAGTGGTGTTGATGGCCGTGTGGTAGTTTGGACCATATAGTCTGTTTGGTGCTCAGTATCATTCGACATATGACCAGTTTCGTAAGATGGGGTAGTCTCGCATTTATATACATAAACATGGATAGCTAAGCAATACAAAGAAGAGAAAGGCCTTCCCATCCATAGTGTAGCCTGTAGCCTGTAATTGTACAGTGATTTATGGTACGACCTAGTGGGTAGATTGAGCGTAGATTAAATGTGCTATCAAAATTACAGGGATGTTGCACATACTACGGTAGACTAAATCGAGCTAACAAACAATAGACCAAATTTCCGCATTTCTTATCGAAATCTTAGCGTTTTACATAAAGCCACGGCTACCACGCACCTTAAAAGATTTAGTATCTTACAGCCCCCGAACCTCGCCACCACCCCCAGAACTGGGGCCCTAGCCTAGGGTAGCCAGGATACTAGAGCTCTAAAATCTAGAGAAGGCTGTAGAGATATAGCACTGGCACCCCTAAGTATCTAATTCTAGCACCCCTAAACACCTAGTGCTGGTATCCCTCAAGATCTAGGATCCCTTGGACTCTTAAAGGCGGTCAATATCTCGGGACCGGACTAGTCAATAGTCCGAAAATATAGAACTGATTTAGAGTATATAATTGATTGAAACTTGGGGTGGGGCCTAATAAATATATTTAATTGGTTAACATAAAGTGCGTTGGTATTTGTAAAGTTGGTAATATTTTACATAGCCCGTTAGCTCGATTTAGTCAGCCGTAACATACTCTGGTAGTATGTAACAGATACCAATACCTGTGCAATACATGGCTCCCGCTAGTCCCTGATAGGCATAGACTTCCCCGGATTCTCGACGTCACTCCGATTATAGGTCACGAGCCGAATATCTCCAGAATTGATGCTCTTACTGCGGTCTCCTGACAAGCAATGACAACAACCATGCGGCCCGAAGACAGAGCTGCCCTTTATGACGATGATGGAATTTGATGAAGTTTTTACAGTTACCCTCACTGTCTTATCTATCCTACTATACGGAGCGTGCTCAACTGCTAGTCTGGTTTCCTCTAGAACAAGCGGAGCTTCTATATATGGCCAGAGCGACAGAGCAGACAACACAGTCTCGCGCGAAACATTTGCCTCTTTAGAAGAACTATCGCGCATTGTTGACGTGTCGTACTGTGTCGGCAGTACAGGAGTACAGAAACCGTTCCGGTGTTTGAGTCGGTGTAATGAATTTCCAGGCTTTGAGTTGGTCACCGTGAGTTGCTTTTTCTTTTCTTTTCTCTTTGTTTCAAGGCCTTGACTCTCCTCTGATATCGCGGTACAACTAATCACCAAAACTGGCTAGACGTGGAGCACCGGTCCCTTCCTCTCGGATTCGTGCGGCTACATCGCATTGTCCCATTTCCCACATGCAAAGCGCATAATTATTGCTTTTCGTGGCACTTATTCAATCACAGACACTATAATCGATCTTTCAGCCTATCCGCAGGCGTACGTACCATATAACCCTGATGACCGGGAGGATAAGGAATTGTTACGGTGTCGTAATTGCACAGTCCACGCGGGATTCCTGGCCGCGTGGCTGAACACCCGCCCAATCATCCTCAAACATGTTTCAGCAGCAAGGAAACAGTATCGTGACTACAAAGTGGTGCTTGTCGGTCACTCACTTGGTGGGGCAGTTGCTGCGCTGGCGGGGCTTGAGATGCAAATGCGAGACTGGGAGCCGCAGGTGACGACGTTTGGAGAGCCTAAAATCGGAAACAAGGAATTTGTCAATTTTCTTAACGAGGCGTTCAAGCTCGGGACGGCGTCATCATCAGGCAATGCTCAGCAGTGGCAATTCCGGAGGGTAACTCACGTGGATGACCCTGTGCCTCTCCTGCCACTAGAAGAATGGGGATACGAGATGCATGCTGGAGAAATATTCATTTCAAAGGCTGTTCTCCCGCCCTCAGAATCCAACGTTATAGTTTGCGATGGGAATAAAGATACGCACTGTATCACCGGGGGGCAAAGTAACCTGAGAGCCATGCTTCACGAGATCAAGTTGAATGCGACGAAGCACGAGTGGCGTCATAGAGTGACAGACCTGACAGATCAGGTGGTTAGCGACAGATCTCCATCGATGATGGGCTCTCAAAGCGACGCTGAAAGGCAACAGATACCGCTTCGTCTCCCGTGGAACCTTATTCCTTCCAGATACCGACTCTGGGAGCTATTCTTTGCTCACCGAGACTACTTCTGGCGGATAGGCCTCTGCGTTCCTGGCGGTGATCCAACAGGCAAAGAAAAACATCATTACTCCTAGATGCTCGAAACCTACTAGAGGACAGATCATTGATAATGCGCAATGAGGGGGTGATTGAGACTAAGCGCCTTTGTAGCCTTTGTTTGTCTTATTTCTGATGGACATGAGTGCATTGTTCACGATATGGAGGTACATGATTATTGAACTAACTCAGAGATTCTCTTTGACGACTAGATTGCCTGTATGTATGCATAGTTGCTGGTCCACTGACTGAGAGATAGAGTTAATGACCCTAAGCTTTGGACAGAGACACAAGGGGTGTTATATATAGCATGCAGAGAATGTGATTCCTACTGTTAGCTTGCACTGCATGCCTTTAATTACTAATTTCAATGCATTCCTGACCAAGATAGCTAGTAGCATATTGAGAATTAAGCAAATGCAGACGGCGAAGACTGGGTATTTACAGAACGAGCCATTACAAACACAAAATTTGAACTTAAACAGTACTATGGATACGTGTAGTATAGGTATGCCTCAATGGTAAATGTAGGATATGTCATAGAATCATGTCCAGTAAGCAGTAAGCAATAAGAGAAGCAGGCCCCAAGGGAGAATACGACAAACTGTGACTCGAAATGGCAAGGTAGGCGGGGAAGCAGAGAGACAATACAATACCCTTGTTTGCACTGAAATACACTTCACTTCACATGCCCCAAGCTTGGGATAATGACTGGCCCATATTTGACAACCGTCCCATGGGATCCGTCGCCCTGAACCATAAAATCCACGGCAAGATTCAGGCTGTCTCCATGGCCCGCAGGTGCTTGGCCATACATCGCGTTGACAGTTTCAGGATCATAGGCTACGATGGCAGCGTAATTCCGGCGACCCATCAGCTTACGGTGTTCACGAGCCTGTCCCGTGACGTCGGTTTGGAATATTTCCATCATGTCCTCCTTCGTATCAGTAGGCTGCGAAGGAGAGGAACGATGCCCATTTGCCGGAACATAAAGCGGCTTGTTGCTGCTGTGAAGGAGCTTGATGACATAGGAAGGCGGGGGGTTGTTCACAACCGCGGATGATATGATTTGATACATGGTCTTGTAGTCAGAAGGATGGGCTGGATCGTGGACCAATCCTGCACCACACACGTTGACAGATCCGGAAAGAAAAGTCATACGGAGAAACTTCTGATGGGCAATGCCCTGGAGAGTGCGAATGAGGTACGTTCGCTCAAGGTCCTACATATACATAGAACTATTAGGCCTGAAAAAGAGTGAGGCTCAGAGAACATCTTCAAACGCACCTTGGATTCATGAGTCCACTGATCTCGGAGCTCGTCCATCAGGTCGAATTCTCCGAACGGACTTAATATGCCTCCCATAAGGCCAGACTTGCCTACAGCACGCTTGACAGAGTCGAATCCAGAACCTACCATTTCCTTTGCGCCAACCACGCCCGCCACAGAGCTCGTAACTTTTCCAAGGACGTTGTATGCACCCGTAACAGCTCTTTTACCCGAAGCAACAGTGTTTGCAATATGTTCCGCAGTCTCTAGGCGTGGGTAAATGACGGGCACGGAGATCATCCACAAACAGTGCTGTACAGATGGAGGTAGCATTGCAACTTTGGGGAAAATACCTTGATATGTAGGTCCAGCGACAACTTGGTGTGGGTTGCGCTCCGACCGACAATCAAGGCCAACGACAACCACGGCCGGCCCCAGGAACTTAACAAAATGCCAGCCGGTGCCAGTAATGGTGAATAAATCCATGTCGGTGCTAGTATTGCGAAGCAATTCAAGTGTGGTATGGTGCTGGAAAAGCAGATACATCTCAGTCCCAACGCGTCCAATGTTTTTGAACATATTCGAGAACTGTATATGTTCAGGGTACGACCCGTAACCGTCAAATCTACCGGACGTCAGCCGAGCCTACAGTATTATTCGGGAGAGACGTTCACTCACATGTCATGATCATCAATTTGGCAAACATAAGGAATCTGGGCGAATGACTCTCGTAGGTAAGGCTGATCGAAGTGGCTAGTGTAGTAATGGAAGTATGCATGAGAGACGTCTTCCTCATGTGCAGCAGTCCAAGGCATGCTTTTCCTAGCCTCTTTGCCGCGGATTGCAAGCCACTGTTTGAGCGAAGGGATCTCCTTCCACATTCTATCCGCATAGATCTGTCCGCCCAGACATAGCTGAGCATGGAACCCCCCGATTTCATTGTGCTTCTGCATGATGTCCTTCCACATATAACTCACCCCCCCAAGACGAGACCGCTCATTAGCATTTACGTTGAGGGAAAAGTCATTCCCCGAAGTTGTGATAAAACGCCAATTCGTTTCATGTCGGCCAGCGACCAAGAATTCGTAGCGCGTGCAGCCCAGATGTGACGTGATTGCGTAGGTCCATTTTGCAGGGCCGGATTCTTCCATCTGCAAGTCAACGTCGTACTTGTAGAACGTCCACCTTTGATGAACGGCGATAGCGGATGCCTTCAATTGGCGCGGATTCGGTGACAAATCAACGCTCTGATGGATATGAATCGTCGGAGGCTGCGCGGCGTCGGTAACGAGTAGAATGGAACCTAGCCAAATACCATGCTCCAGATTCATATTGACATAGCGCAGGTATGGTCCAAAGTAAACACCATTCGTTGGTGCAGTTTTGTATAAATCCACCCCACTACTTGGCGGAGGACCAGTAAACCCTGCAACAACAGGTGACTGTAGACTCTCATAACCTGGAGTCAGAGGAATGCCAGGGGACGCCAACGGTTTACCAAAGGCCGACAAACCCGGTGAAGCGAGAGGATGGCTGCTATATATGCTTCCTACCGGTGACAAAGGAGTTTCGTTGAGGTTCAATGGTGTGGGCCCCTTGGGGAATTCCCACTGAGTGGACTGAGTTGGGAGGTGAATGTAATAGTACTGGCCTGAGTTGGGGTCCATATGAGCAATCCATCCTTCGGGAAGTGGAGGGGGGGAGGCAGGTGGGATTCCCGAAGAGGTAGGTAACACTGTAGCTTGAGTTTCTTGAACTGTCTGCTGCTGCCCATCCAGGACGCCGGTTTGCGTGCCATTCTGTAGGGATTGCTCTACTGGTTGTTCTTGCCTTGAGTCATTTGCAAACGCCGGGTGATCCTGAGCCGAAACTTCGAGTGCCGCAGAATTTGTGGCTGCATTGATGGGCGCCATTGTCGCGGGATGTACCGCTGATGAAGCCTGATGACCTGGGGCTGTCTGTGCGCGCTGTTTTTCATTTGGGTAACCTTGGGACGCGGCCGGACCAGATACGCTGGAGTATGCAGGAGGAGGTGAAGAGCTTATGCGCATCCTTTCTAGATCCTGTTCCAGAGCATTTGACGGGATCCTTGGATGATGCAAAACTTGCGCTGCCTGCCCTGAGCTTGCGACAGATTGGGGAGAGAAAGGATGTCCAGGGAGGTTCTCCGTAGATACAACTTCCGCGCCTTGATATACTGTGGGAGGTCCATGAGGTTGACTCCCTGGCTGCTCCGTTGGCGTCCATGGTCTCTGGACGGGCGGCTGACTCGTCGGTTGTTGACCCACATACTGCTCGGCTCTTCTCTGTGCCGCCGAGCTTGGGGCTTGCAAGCCTGCTAGAGTTGAAGTGCCTGCGATTCCAGAAGCTGCATAGCGTGCCTCAATGTCCGATGCGCTCTGTTGGCCCGGCTCAACAATTGGGGTTTCTGGAGGTGGAGGGGAGCCACGCTGGGCGCGAGTTGTCGACGTCGATGCTGTTGAGCTAATGCGATTGATTGCACTGCTAGGAGTCTGTAGGCTTTGTGCCGGCGGCCTCGCGGTAGGTCCTGACGAGGTTGCGGCCTGAGGAGGTGGATAGTACTGCTGACGGTAGTTCGGATGAACAGTCCCATCAAGCTGGGTCCCGTTGGCAAATGCTGGTGGAGCAGGAGTTCGCTGGTATCTCGTCACAAACAGCCCGTCTTTGTCCGGAGGGTCACCCGCGGGTGACTCAGGAAGGGGCTTCGGCACATTGCCTCGTCGTTCTGCCAAAGTAGCCGGTTTAGGCTCGCGACCATCCCGCGGCCGTAAAGCCGCCGGATAGTCCGACCTGGATAGACCGGTGCTAGCAGCAGGCATGGAAGACATGTTGTCTGGATTCGTGGGGGAGCCGCCTGTACGTCCACCATCAACCGTCGGACTTGAATGGCTGGTACTTGAGCTGCGCATTTTTGGGGGATTTGGTCGGTCGTCAGGGTACGGAAGGGGAGCGCCCTGTGGTGCAGGTGATGGGGTGTCTCTCTTGCTAATCCGCAGCGGTCCAACAACGGGGGACTCGACCGGCGATCGCCCCGGAGTATGGATGAACAGTTCCTCGTCGGAGTAATTGCCTTGACGGCCCCTGCTGGGATTCATTGTGAACCGGGTAAGAAGAACCTATTTTAAGTCAATTATGTTGCCAATCATGGGTCAATGTGATTGAGGTAACGAGAGCGGGGGGGACCTTTAGGAAACGAAAAGGCGCACCGTTAGAGATGCGGGGGAGAAAGCAACACCTACCAGTTTGGAGAACCCTACGTGCAGTCGTAAGTCACTAGGTTTCACCTCAGGCCCTCATCCGACGAGGAGAGGAAAGGGGCGACAAGTGTGAATAAATAAAATGCAGTATAGTCCCGTGGAAAAATAGGCAGCTTCGTTCCAAATGCTTCGGCGATCACCTCGCAGCGTCCCAGCTCATGGTTTAGCCGCCGAGGGGTTTCTGGTGTAGACGCTTAGCGATCATCATTGGCTCAGTCAGACTGGAGCGCCACTTCTGGAGGGGCCTTTGAGAACAAATCGCATTGCATAATTCCTTGTTGCCAGATCCGATTTTATGTTCTTGCAGACCTTTCTAATTATAATCGACCCATTAGGTAGTTTGTTGTATGTAGGATCGGCCCGCAGCCGATTTAACTCTGCAAATCCATGGGTCCTGCTTGCCTCAGGTTGAAATTACGAAACCTCTCCATTAGAAGGATGAGCATATGTATAATAATGATAAAAAATATTAAGAGTCAAAATCCTTGGAATAAAGGGAAAAAAAAAAAAAGCCAGCCCCAGTCCCCCTTCTCATCCGTAACTGACGAACCCAAAGCCACGTTCAGCCAAGAGTTCAATCCAGCCAGTCCATGGGAACGGTCTGTCACCATTATAAGATCGCTGCTGCATCTGGTATTCATACACGAGTTGGAGCATATAGCACGTCGTAGACGCATTATATCCTATCTCATTTCTCTCTAGATTTGAGAGCAGCTCCCATGCCTTGACTTTGAGATCGATTGTTTCCGCCGCAACTCCCGCCAGGAACAAAGGGAAGATGATGAAGTGCAGAGGGCTACCTTGGATATCCACGATCATCGCCTCTGCATGTTGTAAGATCATTGTCGTATGGTGATGCACATTCTGCTTGGGTCTTTCGCCCATGTCAATGCACTGCTCAGGAAATATGCTAGTGTAGTAAAAGAGAATTGAAGTATGGAAGAGTAAATTGATCTGATGAACCAGACTTAGCTTTGAAGACTGAGAGATAGCACAACGGAAAATTTGACCAACCTGCTCCAAAATCCTTTGTTGTTGTTTTGGTAGCCTTGTTTGATTCTCGGCCCAGCAGCGAATATCTGAAGCGTCCCAAAGTCGCCTCAAATCTTCGTGTAGGTCGATACCCCGCTGCTGTAGATTGATAGGGGGGTATGAATAAGATACACCCAGCTTTTTCATGTCCGCAATAACTAACCCTAACTGGACAGCTAGCCCGAACATGTCTTTGTACAGCTGCAACAGTAATGTTAGATTTTCAGGCTCATGCGAATCGATGTCATCGGATCCACTAGAGCCGATAGAGGAAAGAAGAGACTCGGGCCAGGGGAGCAGGTCGCTTTCTAAAACCGTTTTGACATAGTCTCCTGCACCTGCACCGCTGAGAAGGGCAATAAAATCAATGTTGCAGACCCACCAGATGACGAACGGAAATCGCTCCACTCCAAAGGCCGATTGCCTCATGAAAGTAATCTCGAGCATTTGGGATATGTGATAAGACCAGAGGCTCGGCCCATCTGACTTGGCAGCCATGGCCTTTAGAAATTGAATGTCAGCCTTTCTGTACCCGAGATCTCAGATACCGGAGTTATAAGAGAACTACCTCGTGTACGAGCAGTAGAAATTGCGTGAGAAAAAGTCCGTCAGATAGAATATTGTCGCTGTGATGGAGGGTATTCTGTGGAAGTGGGAAATCTCGCTGGTGGGGATTCAAGTCGCTCATATCTATACTGTTCCCTTGGCGATCTAGGCAGAGCTTAGATACTGCCATCACCGCTTGAAAAAGCTTTATATAGAGTGGTTAGTCAATATGAATAGGAGAGGATAGCTGGAGAAACGCGGCATACAGGTGGGCAGATAGCAGCTTCTTGTTCCAAAACCTCGACACCCAGTCCATGGCCGTCTGAACCATCTAACCAGGTCCCCTGGGGGACAAGTTTGGGCCATACCACATTGCGAAAATGTGATAGTAGTATCGCCTCATAATCCATCAATTTTGTTTGCCCCTGCGTATAAAACTTATCTGGAGTGCTCGAATCAGCTGAATATACTGAGGCTGTAGGTGAATATGAGAAGCCTCGAGGACCAGACTCCAGCGTTGGAGTGGAACCTCTGCGATCTGGACAGAAGTATCTCCTAGCGTCAGGCAATGTCTTGAGTATGACGACATTTGGATCATTCACTTCTGGATTGTCATTCCGCTGGCTACTTTGCCCACTATCTACCAAGGAACTTGATGTTGCGCTCCTGCATTGCTCCCCAGATCGTTCATTGACATGTCCAGGAAGATAAGAAAAGCTCTCCGGCATGATGATAACGGTATAAGTGCCGGGAATGGACAACTGAGCTTTCCTCTCCCGTTCCTCGTCAGATGTGAGTGTCGCGAAGGAAGGCAGCAGATCTGGTAATCCGTAGTCTGCAGAGGGAGGCCTGACATTTCTACACATATGAGCTGTTGGTAGCGCCTATGTTAGCGTTTTGTATTTAGCATTAGGCAAAAAGAAAATGGAAGACAGTCTCACGGTCCCAAACAAGATTGCCAACTGTCTCCACGTCTGACATCCGTTCGATTACCCGACGGGTATCGTCTCTAAAGGACAAGCGTGGCTGGTAGTCACAATCATGACCCAATCTGGTACATTGCTTGATCAAATCAGCTTGGGTCTGTCGGCCAAGAAAAGAATTTTTAGTACATTACATCGAGGATGTTTCTCGTCACATTTTACTGTACGCCCAGAGAGTTACTACAAACATTCATGGACCTCTTCTTGTTGGAGTAGTATTCAAGGATCATCTCACCTTTACGGCTCTGTTACATCCACAGCAGACAAGTTAGCAAACTAGGCCAGCGCTCATTATATATATAAAAATGATTATGGCGATGGGGGTATTGGCGCACTCTACACGTCCTAGAATTGAAATGAGCTGAACTTTTCCACCAAACCATCAGAATCTTAGCGCAACGAACGTACCAGCAACCTGTCCGAGATCTCGGTGGAAACCGACCATGAGAGCGAGGAATTGAAGTCTTCACAGGTACAGCAGGATTGACACTGGAGCTCGCTGTTGTACCCTTGGGAGCGATGATGGGTAGCCACAAAGAGCGTTTCCTCGATGTCTTGCCCCGTTTTTTCGACCGCACGAAACTTATGACGGTCATCGTGAAAATCTGATTTTCTATCAGTGAGAGTCAGCTCCCAACTCGTACAAAAACAGGGGGGCCATCTGAGACTTATGCGTCAAACTCTATGACGGATACCTTTGGTAAACCCGCGTTTAATCTATGCAAAGCCTAGGCCAAGGATAGCACGAAGAGATGGTAGCGGTAGAATGATATAATGATGAAGCTAGAATGCCAGGTAGACCAAGACCAGACTATGTATGGTACCTACATTTTTGACCTTTGGTCAGAGATGGGTTGAAGAGAAGAAGAAGAAGAAGAAGAAGGAGGAGGAGGAGGAGGAGGAAACAACAGTCCTAGCACAGATTTTCATTGCAAGACAAGCTTAGGCTTCGAACATCAGACAAGACCCAGAAAGCCTCCTGCATCAGCCAGCCTTGTAGTGGTGGCGGTCTTCAGGTACCTTACGGCCTCAATTGAGAGACAAATCGGAAGGTCGTTGGCAACTCCCATCTGGACAGCCCAATATATGTTTGCCCCTCTAGAGGGCGACGGATTGGATGAAAGAGTTCAGCTTTGGTACCCTAGTCAGCATCTACATTAGCGTGAGAGAGAAAGCAGGACGAATGGCGCATTCCGAGCGCCAGATGCCAACCATGTGGGATGGGTGAAGATTCTTGCGGGTCGGATGATGGCCCAGCGCCTTTTCGTCGATTTCTTCTTTCCCTTCATTTGTTTCTTGTATATTCTTTTCCCCCCTCTGTTCCGTTGTTTATTTTATGATATATATAAATGTTTTCTGGGTGGGTCACTTTTTTTTTCCACCCAGGAAGTCAACATTGATCAAGATGATGCTTCAAATGAACCAAACGTCAGCCCGGGACCAATGTCATCTGACCCAATACCGTAAACAAAAGCGATTCCCAGCGTCAGCAATGTCTTCCACCTTACTAAGACTAAATTAGCAGCTGGTAATGGTCCGGCAGTTGGGTAGGTTTTAGTCTTTCATGACATGACAGTAAGTTCCCCCCTGGCGGAACTTTATCAGGTATCCAGCGAATCGGGAAGCTTTTTTTACCATTGCACGATGCAACTACGTTAGTCAATACCAGTCATTCCTTCAGTCTATTTCCCATAGAATGCTCTCTTTTTTCTTCTCCCTTCCCCATAATATATTTCCTCTGCGCATGTTGGGTCTGTTCCTAAATTTTCTACCTTACTAGGGACGATTCTGTAGTGGCGGGGGTCTAGCCCTAGTACAGCTAGTACTAGTAGTAGATAATACCACTTCATGCTGACCCGCAGGCACTAACAGGCTACGCTAATGCTACAGGCACAATGACATGGATAGCACTGACCACTCAGAAATAAACCCTATGAGTTGCGGGCTCCCCAGGCCCTCAGAGACACGCGCCTGGGCCGGTCTGGATCTTCTTCTCCAGGCGGACCCCGTTTTCAATTTGTATAGCCTTCTACTAGTGGACCTAAAGCCAGTGCTAAACCAACAGGTGCCAATGGCTTATTCCCGTGTATGATTGGCTGACCGGCTCAACAGAACCGTTCACTCATGGGTGCATGCTTGTTTCATGAAGGATCTTGATTCTGCATATGGGACAATTTTTTTGGGCATCTCATCATCATCGAGCGAAGGAACTCGATGCACCGGTGACCTTATGTGGCCCCTAGGTTCTGTCCGTCACTTCGGGTTCCTCTGATAGGCTGACGCTTACTAGTTGAATAATGTTGTGGCCCTTTCGGATGCTTCCGGTAGACCCTAGCTGCTACCAATGCTCGTTGCGATGTGGACACATGCTTCATTGCATGAGTCTTTCCAAGGCTTGGCCTAGGACTTGCTGCACCGGCCCGGATCTTTCGCCCTCCCTCCAGGTCTTCAGCAGCCCGCACAGTTTCCCATCGATATCAGGCCCAATATCGAGTTGTTTGCAGAGCGTAATGAATGACATTGCAGCCTGCGCACGTTCTCTTCGGATTGCTTCAGCAGTTACATCTACCTGGCGAGACAACATTTCGCCTACCAGGGCCGCCAAGGATTTTTGCAGTTCGCGCAGCTTAGGTTTCTCGCCGTGTGATTCTAAAGCCTTTGTTGCTGCTCTACTGAAGAGCATGCGAAGTTCCTCGTACAGCGCAATCTGCACATTTCTGCCTCCATTATCCAATGTTTCGTGCAAAAGACGCTTTACTTCTAACACATAGCTGTTGGTAGCTGTGTATATAGTCAGCAAAGCCTATATAACGGCAAAGCGAGGGAGAATTGACTTACCTTCAGCCGATGCCGCGCATGTTAGATTGATACATTGCAAGAGGCATTTGACACAAGCCACCAAAGTATCCTCTCGGGTTTGTCTATTGATGGTTAGCCATTGACAGGATAAAGGGGTGCCAAGGCAGTACTTGTTCTTTTGACCGTTGCCCGAGTCGATGTCCATCGAGTCCTCTCCCTCGTCAAATTCACTGAGTACCCGAGAAACAATATCAACAGCATCTGACATCAAATTGAGGTCTTGGCGCGCTTGAGCAATCCCACCAAAAGCAGTGATAGCATGTGGGCGATATGTTGGGTTAATCCGTTTAGCCTCCCTGATTGCGATTGCCTGAGAGGTTGGTAAGCACATTAGGTCAAATACTTTTGAAATAGGGGAGAACGAAAATCAGAAAGAATTTACCTTCATTGTATCACCAGCTTGAGGCTTCTGTAGCCATAGATTCTTTGCTTGGCTGGTGAATTTCACAAAAGCTTTCACAACAACTTCTTTACCATCCCATGTTTTCCCAGCCAATGCTTTCTCCAGAACAGGCCATAGGTACTCGCTAGTAGCAATATCCAGTTCGGAATCAAGTGCCATGATGCCGTTCGCAAACCCCAATGCTGCAGTATGCTTGATGATCCAGCGAGGAGAATCGAGATTATCTGAAACAAGGCTGGTAATTTCTTTTATATATAGCGATACCGCACGATTACCGCCCACATTATCCTGCCATGTCTTCTCAAATGCTTCTTGGACGTGCTCATCAGTATCGTACTTGGAAACAAATATGAAAGGTAAGGCAGTCGCGGCAAATGCCATGAATCGGTCGTTGGACAACTTAGACGTGGAGTGTAAAATTTCCGCTGCGATGATTCGCTGATTTGCGTCTTCTGCAGTCAGATACAGAGTTTTCGCATGTTCAATTGTTTTTAGCACTCTGTCATCTGAAGCTAGTCGCATGAGGTAGCCTATTGATGTACAATAAGACGCACTGACCGTGTCGTTGCGGTCAACGACGTATTTTACAAGAAGCTTGATAAAACGATCCGCATAAGGGCGGAATAGGACTGTTCTCATACTCAGGAGAACTAGTACACGACTGCAGCCCACTTTCGTTGGAAGCCCAACTGCAGAGCGAAGCACGCGTTCCAGACTATCAGCGAATTCCTTCAGGCTAGTTTCGTCGAGCATATCTATCAGATATCGCTCAATAACTTCCATCATTGGAGATGTGCGTATGCTGGACAGCCTCATTTTGTCGATCTCTTGGCCTGTTAATCCATACTTGTCCGCGTTGAGATGGACATAGTTGACTGCTTGTGGCTCTAGGGAACTTAGAGAGTTCAAGAATTGTTCCATCACGCAGGGAACAAATGGGCGCAACAGCTGACCAGGACTTTTCTTTATTATCTGGATTAAAGCTCCAATAGCAAATCCTTGAACCTCTTGAACATCAGATTCCATACCCTTGTCACTCAATAAAAAGGGAATAGTGCCCGCTAGCATAGTATCTGCTCGTTTTGTCTCGGTATAGCTTGTTTCCAGAGTACGGATCACTGCGTTGGTTATTGTCTGGCAAAGTTTCAGAGCAGCCGCTCGAACTGACTCCTTGATGTCATCTACAAGCTTGAACGCTTTTAGAAAGATTTCCTCCATATAATTAGAGTATTTCTCTGGTTGTCGCCCTTGAATTAAATCCGCAATAGCAGCACAACTTGCCTGTCGAACGCGCCACTCCCGACCGATCAGCATGCTTTTCAACAGATCGTCCATAATTTCATCAAAATGATCACTGATAATTGCAGCAGGGTCCTTGACCAGCGCCTGCCATATTGTGTTCATGGACCGCTGTACATTTGGATTCGGATCAAACCGGTAGCGAAACAATTTCGGGTAAATTTTGGGATTCTTGGCTAGGTAACCATTGGCGCTTGAATCGGAGAATATAGTGCTAATACCCAGCTTGCTAAATGCTGCACGATTGGTCCAAAGGGCATTGTTCGAAGCCAGGGACATGAATCGATACACAAGTGTGGGGTCGCCAGCCTCAGAGGCTAGGTTCATAATATCTTTGTAAGTATTGACTGATGACCCGCCTCCAGTTGGTAGAGCACCTGGCTCGAATAGTTCGGTATCTTCGTTGACTTTACCACCCCCAAGATTGGAGCCAGCTGCCGTAAAAGAGTCCACCAAGTCGCGTACCAAGTCATCCTTTAGCGTCTGGTCACCGATATCGTACACAAGGCTTAGGCCTTGGGCCCCGGTCTCTTGCACCACTTCATCTCTATCCGCGAGCAAACGCGTGAATGTCCTTTGACATTTACGCAGGCGGGTCTGCATTTGTTGTAGGTGACCACAATTCTTCACCAGGCATAGTAGCCATATGGAAGACGCTTTTCTCAAAGAAGGCTTTGATGCACCGCAATCCGTAATGATCTTGTCGCACATTTCAGCCAATACCGTATCAGAGAGTTGCCATGTGGGGAGCTTTTCGTCGACGTCAAATTCCGTGGCCATAGACTTAGAGGTCCATCCCGCTGCAGCACCACTCAAAGCCTCGCCGACAGTGAAATGTGTTTCTGGGCTACGGATTTCATGTAGGTCGTACAAGGAGTTCAAGAATTTAGTGAACTGCGGGTCTTTATCGTCAGCCTTCGAAAATGACAAAGATAGGAGGCCCATTGCTGTGATCGCTATTTCACTCTCGGCCTTTGCGTCCGGCTTCAACTTATCGTTGATCGTCTCCCACTCATCGTTTGAAAGTACTGTCGTAGACAAAACTCCGGAAAGACTCAACTGCCCGATGGCAACCTGTGCGGACTGTCGAAGCAAAGAATCGCGTGCGTCCCTAATTATATCAAAAATCGTGCGAATGAATAGGTTGACAGTTGTTTCGGGTGCTTTGTATAAAGAGTTGCGGAATGCCAGTCGGCTCAAGATATACGCTAGTGCAAGGACTGCGCCCCGAACTCTAAGCACAACTTCACCAATGGCAAATTTCCAACTCCCTATGGGAACTGAGAGATCTGAAAGGAATTCCCTCAAGTTATTTTCCGAAAATGCCGAGTGAGAGGCGAGAATTCCAAGTGCGCGTGCTGCCAGGTTCTGAAGTTCTTGATCATTACTGTAGAGGGAATTTTTCAACGTGGCAACCTTCGATACCATGGGCTCAACGATGTCGTTCGAAGCTAAAGAGCAAATACCGATGAAGTCTTCTCCGCACTGCGACAGGCCTTTTTGAGCCCCGCCGCTAAGGCCAGAGAGAGCACTTGTCAGAAATAGCAGTACAGCTTCCTTGTCGGAGTTTTTGATGTAGCGTTTCACAGCGCACCGCGCTTGTTCATCGGATGTAAGAAGCACGTCCAATTTGATATCCCAATCTTGCTCTATTTCTGTGCTTATATTCGAACCCAAGAACGACTCCCAAAGCAATATGTTGCGAAGAAAAGTGATTGTGTAGATGAAGGCCTTCTTATAGGGACCTGACAATATCTCTGGTGCAGAAAGACCTGGCACAACGGTGGACGCAGTCGAACCCAGGAGAAAGCGCGCTGCCTCTGAAAAACTCGGAAATTTAAACCATGACGAGCGTGAGTCAGCTGTCACTGATGTAAACCATATCTTGTCTTTAGTTGGGTTTAGAAGACGATACCAATAAGGGTGCAGCCCTT